CCAAGGCAGAATCCACGGCTCTCTTCTGTATTTGCCTTTTCTTCCTGTCGCCCTATAAAACGTATTTACGACAGGTATATTTATGACACATTCTACGTTTGTAGTCCAACAATAACCGTGTATTCTGGTGTATAATAAAATTAGGCGTATTCATATCCGATACACTCATTATCGAGATATTAATCACAATAAAAAATAATTAGAAATTTATCTCCAATAATTATTTCATCTTAAAAATCGCTTAGGCTTCTTCAAGTAATCATTCTTAAAATTTTGTTATTAATTTTATGTGGAAAAAATTACTAATGTTATATGTTTATAAATTAGCTTTCGAATAATTTTGAAGCTCAAAATATTTTTTTGCTCGTTTTTCAATCAAAATATATCATTGTAATGCTTCATAAATAAATTTTACTTACAAATTGTGTACATGGTTCCTTCACTTCAGTACAAGTACAAACTCCTTGCATTCGTCTTAGTACGTTTTCATCAATCACATCTCCTTTGAAACATCCGATAATGTATGGAAATTCGTCAGTAACATGATATCTGAATAATATTAACGTACGGAGCATGTAAAAGATACGTTACAGAAAACAATAATGAATTTTAAAAACAACACAAAAATCAAGCCACCTGTATTCTCCATTGCGTGTCTCCATTCCGCCACATTCGTCCAGTTCAGCCCTTGTCAAAAAATTGCCATCTTCGTCGAAAGGCCCATATATGGGAAAACCGTCAAAAGCCACACCTGCAAGCAAAATACCTTACTTTTCAGCAATTTAATTGATCAATAGGAATATTATTAGTTCACCAAATATATTTTTTCCGATTGAATGCAAGATGTAATGGACACTATATCGACTATAGATGAACAAATACTAGATATGAGAAATAAATATTCAGTATTATGTATTTGGTCAATACGTAATATAAATAATTATAACCATATATTGGTTTACTCTCGGCAAATACCCCAGAAAGCTTACCAAGTATAAATTTCGATATTGGAGTAAAAAAACTTTGAATTACCTAAAATTTGTGATGGATTCGCACAAATGTTTCCTAAGCATATTGGTGCAATGTGATAGTGATAAGCATTTCTTGGTGAAGGATGTCCGTGGCACTGATCAAGCAGGTCAAATTCTTCCATTCCTGAAGTAAATATTTTTGAAAACACCGGATAAAATATACATAGCTTTTCTTATTTATGATTACATTTTTGATGCGTCAAAGTTAACAATATATCTTAACCTCATTATGGTAATTTAAAAACAAACGGGAATATGATATGACCCGATTCGCATACCCAACGCGGTGTGAATGCCATCACATATATATTAGCAGTTATTGATTGTCGTCTTTGGCAACAAGCTATTTCGAATATGCTGGTATCTATTCTATTCATATTAATAAATTGCTAATTTTACACCACTTGTACAGCAGGGAGCTAGTCAGTGGAAGTCACTTGACTTCTGAGATCTTGCTAAAACTGTGTTTGCTAAGATGTCGGGTGATGAAGAATTGATTAATGTTTCAAATCAACATGCAAATTTCTAACAGGCGATGCGATGCTGAAGCAGTTGAAGTTTCTGCTTTCAATTTTTATGAAACTGCAGTCTGTATACAATAGTAATATTATCATGGGAATACAGTGGGATGAGATAAAACAGGTAGAGATTTTCTTATGATGAGATAATGTGGGGCGGAAAATATATCCCATGGACAAGCCTTACATTTTCAGTCAAAATACAAATACAATATACATGAATAAAGTCCGCTTACGACTTTTAAAACTATGCGAATACAACGCGATACATTATATTTGTGCTAGTGACATTGTGACATGGTAAAAATATGAAGCCTGTCAACATTTTTGAGAAGGGTAATACACCAATTCATAATACCTGCATCACAGCATTCAGAAGTGTATGGATTGAATATAGCGACTCCATTAACAGCCATTCCAATTGGTCCCATCGGCGTACAACTTGAGCTTGTGGCATGAGTTGGATCTTTCTTTACTGTAAACTCATATGTCTGGGCGTCGATAGAATTAGGATTTCCATCAAATAAACCTGATAAGCACAAAATATTATTATATCCAACTCTGTAAAGTCAGATTTAGTTTCCCGTGCTTAAGTATAAGCGAACGATTAACAGGGAAAGTTAGTGAATAGCCTACTTTATTAAATAATAAATAAACTGTCCCATAGCGATAGTTTTAGCAGGAAACATAAGCATGCACATGAAAAAAAATGAAATTAATAACCTTCTCTATGAAATGAAGCGCAATTAGTATTTAAAATCTCGTAATGTTAGCAGTAACTGTCATAACACAATATGAATCGTCTATCGAAATATTCTATCATTTGGTATTTTGATTACCTCTTTGATTTTTATGCATTGAAAACAAAATACTCACCAGTGTCATGATCCGGAATGCCATTGCTTTTAAGGACGAGGGTCTCGGAAAATGTTTCAACCGACACTGTTCCCTGAAGCCCACTATTACCTTCTTCGTGAGTACGTGATTTGAAAAAAGATATTTCGTCAGCTGTCAATGCACTAGCATAATTAATTGATATCACAGAGATTAAACAAAATACCACAAATGATGCCATTATTTTACACCTTGAAAATAAAAAGGGAAGTTTAAAAATTATTGTGAAATTCGTTGGCCTCTCAAATTTGTTTCTGCGTTTTTGGTAATGAATGATATAAAAATATGCGAAAGTTGGTATCGTCGAAACAACTTAACGAGATTTTTGTGATACACCCAGTTTCAAAATCAGAAACGAACAATGAATGTGATAACTAACAAAATGCATCCATAAATATATATATATATCATAATATATATATCATAATTGTCGGATATGGCGCGGATATTGAACGCATAAATCGGATACGTTTAATCATCTGCGCGTACATAACCAAACACAAATGAGGTGATATTGCCAATACAAACGCACGTAGAAATAAGAATGCAATATGTAGGAGAGGATACAAATGAGACACGCACGCCGGATTGTTATGAAACTATTTCCAATAGGTTGAATGGGCAACAAAAATGTTGTTTTTGATTACATAATATTTATATAAATGATCTATTGTACGCAAGATCGGTAGTTGCATTTACATTATATAAGGGTTTCCGTACCAAAAAATAATTTTATTTTTGCACTGCTGTAAATATGCAACTTGATAACTGAGCTATTGCTATGTCACCATATTGTGATAAGAGCTCGTGTCAATATTAACATATTATCGCTTGAACAACTGGGTAATGCAGTCTGATTAAATTTATTCATAGTTTCACTTGTCTACTGCGACGTTGCGTCTCTGTACATTTTTTACCTCAATAGTTGCGCTCTTAGCAGTTTGATTGGCTTGAATTTTTATAACAAAACATGATACAAATCGATAAAGCTTGAGACATACGAGACTAAATTTTCTTCTTGTGAAAATTAGGCATTGCTCATCCCTATTGTAAATATATATATATAGAACTCCAAGCTTTCACGTTTGTTGATTACCAATCTTGAACGCTTCCGTCGCCACGCATATAGTTATATAGTATCACATGATAGAGAGGAATGTAAAACAGGGAAGAATCCGGTGCTGGAGAAAGTTGATGTCAGATCAGCCGACACTGTGAGAAGGTCCACACCGGGCCTGCACGGTGCAGTTATGGAAGACAGCCGTAGCAGCCGCAGCCGGTCACAACCAAATCGCAAAAGCAGTCTGAATCCAAAGAACTAACCACAAGTGCGTGGGGCTTTGCCATTTCGACATTGTCGTGGGTGATGGAGCGAAATAAAACTTTATATTTCAGTGCTTCCGACGGACCACATTCATTATGACTGTCGGTTTGCTTTCAATGAACTACGTTTGCTGGCTTGGGACAGGCGAGTCATATACTCTTTCTGCACCAAATCAGACCGCCCCTTTTACCCTCATTGTAAAATTAGAAAACTATGTTCAAACACAAATGATAAACGATACGTATATGCTCACAACTCAATACACTATCACCCAGAATATAATTGCATACACCCAATTTAAGGATATATTTTCACCAATAAAATTACTTTATATAGTCAAATCCAAGTTAAATCTTTCCAGTAACCCGTTCTACTCACGCTTGCCCTGAAAATTATACAAATACATAATAGGATTGTAGTTTCATTAATATTACCAAGTATTTACTAGGTAATTTCTAAATATACCATCATTAGACTAACTATAGGTTTTTGTATAAAACGGATTATTAGAGGATCGATTCATATTGAAAATTGCCGAATTGACAGACTATCACACACGAATCCAGCAAAAATACCAAATTATTAATCATCTGTGAATAGTCAGAAATCCTTTACATTAGTTTCATTGACAGGGCATTCGTAGGGAGAGATACGAGATAACTCACAAGTTCAGTGTATGTTCCTTTTACCCCAAAATTACTTATTCCCTGTAACACCACAAAATGTACAGAAAGACCGACCTCACGTGATACCTGAAACGTTAAAAAAATGAATTGGAGAATGCTGTCATAAATAAAACAGAGTGAGGGGTAAGCAATCGAGTTTTACCTGTATTCTCTCTTACTTATATCATTTGCTTAGTAAAACTCCATTCTCATCTCTTGGGTCGTATGTAGGGAATCCGCCAACAGCGACGCCTAATATATCATGAAAATATAATACCGTCTAAGCTATTTTAACTTTTTTATCTTGAACTTTTTTGATGCACTCCGAGGATTACCTAAAATAAATGGAAGCAATTAAGTTATTTATTGCAATGTAGATTCAGATTAACCAATTAATAAAAAGGGTATCACTCAAATAAATGTAACTGACTCACCCTTCAGATACCAATATAATATGTATAAGCTTGGTATATTCAAGTGCACCCAGTAGACGTTGCTAGATAACTAACCCGGTTTATTCAGTGTCGACATATTTATGCCATGATATTGTGTCGATGATTATGAAATTATTTGTAGTTGAATTATTCTATAAATCAATGCACAATCTATAACACTTTTTTTAATTCACTACCGATAATACTGGATGGAACCATCTTGATATCAATAATAACAATTTGCTGCAATATTACAGCGATACGCACCCATCGGTGATGGATGGCCAGGGAAGGAGTTCACAGTGTTCATCGAATAAGTGATATACATTTACCTTTATTACAAATGCACTTGAATGACACAATTCAAGCGTTTGAAAGCTTAGTATCTTAACAAAATATGATACGACCTGAAGAGTTATTTGTTCAATATAAACCTTTTCATCGTGTTTTCATTGCCATACCAGCATCACATCACCAACATTTAAATGCGTTGAATAATACAACTCCGCTAATTGCCATCTTTGGTCCCATGGACACACACGTTGTTTTTGTCCTTTGTTCGTTTTTTTTTATATATCTTCCATTGTATCCATTCCATTCCATCTGGTTCCACTGTAGTCTTGTTCTTAATTAAAATCAATAAGTTATAGTTTAGGCTGACATTAGGTTATAGTTTTGTGTAAGTGATTTTGGGGATGGTGAGTCAACAATGGATGTTTCCCCGACCCTTATCACCAGAAAAAGTCTTCCTATATTTTATAATTGCATCACTTGGGGCTCATTTTGAGAGTGGTTTTGCGATTTAGCGCTTTGAACTAGTTAATATCTTCCGAACAACATTTCAATTAAAAATATTCTTCAACCCCGTTGTTTAAAAGTATTGGTGGAAGAGTTTGACTTAGTCTATCACAGCTATTTCTAGACTAATTTTTAATGACTGCGATTAAACTATATAAGAAAACAGGATAATCAGGAGTTATTTGATTCGTACTGAAGTTTCAAATCATAATAAAAAACTTACAAATAGCATACAAAAACGCAAAACGAGCTAATGTTTATCACCATGTAAGTCTGTCTGAGCGGCTGCTAAAACGTCTAGACTGATTTTTTGCCAGCCATGACGACAGTTTCGCTCACGCGCGTTACTTGCATGCATGCGAAGCTGCAAAGTTTATGTTTGATTCCAGTACGACGACTACTTCCGAAAACTACGGTTGGCTTCACTTATTCCTCTTATTCAACCACACAGCGAAAGAGCCCTCAAGACATTATCTTCTCTTTTCTTGCGACGATATTGATCCCCTCTTGGTTGTATTCGCTTCATTCGTAGGATCAAATTTGGATATATCAAATTACACAAGAAGAAGACCGAGCATAATGGCAAATCAAATTTGAACCCACGACAATTGTACCTGCATAATATTGAACCTATGGAATTTTTTTTGTTTTACGGATATTTGAACCCATACCAACCCTAACCCATGTGTTTTAGCACCCTCATATAGATTGAACCCGCGGATATACACATGGGTTCAAATGTACGTGGGTTCAAATGTACGGTCACCGCAAAGTACAATAAATCAAAGAGTCCTAAAAGACTGTTACGTCTCCTTGTTGCTCTGAAATATGAAAACGATTGTTGAGCATGTGGTAAAGTCCTTTTTCCAAAGCAGACGCCTACAACTAAATAAATTCCACAGTAAAGACTCCTACGAAAAATGTCTAAATTCGAAATTCATATGATTTAATATAAATTGTGATATTACCTTGTGATATTACAAAGGCATCAGAGTTAATAAAAGTATGCCAAATGGATTGTTAAAACTGTCAAGGTCAAGTTTCTGTTAATAAAGGTTGCTAATAAAATTGCAAATCTTACAATAATTGTATTCAAAGTGACGTATTTCATTATTTTTATGTAAGATAACGCCTACTTGCAGAATTGTAGTCGGTTTAAAAACAAACATTGAGATTAGGTTAAAACCATGTGCCACTAAGATGCAGCCTTTCGCTCATGAGTTTAAACTTAGGACTTTCGGAACACTAAATTTCGGAAAACAGTGAAAAACTTCCAAAAAAAGTTTTCTATTCAGTATTACATTTGCATGCACTCTTTTTCATGTTTCACTCTAATACCTTTTGTGTTCTGCCGTAGGACAATTCATTTGTGCCTGATATTTTTAAAGATTTAAATGCTTCGCTTGAATCGCAAGATGAGCTCAAGTACCCATTTGTTTGTGTAGAATCGATTTGTTTATCGAGATTTGCGCAGTCGCTCCAACAATACCGCGATCCGCCTCGGTAAATATATACTCAAAAATCGAAGAGAGATAGGAGCAAAAAAGGAGCTAGTCTTAAATGTACCATAACCAAAATCTAATTATAACAAATTTTAAATAATCCTTTTTGTAGGCCTATTCCCGATCCTAACCCAATTTGATGAGGTAAAGATGCAAACTAAAACGTCTCTTGGAGAACGCAATCGTTATGAAAAAGAGGGGAACAGTCGCGATTGTTATCTACGATCACCCAGCCCGTAATGTAAAGATGTATACATAGTGAATTCTACAATCTTCGATTTCACTGATTTTTGCGGTCCTTGGATTTGTAGCTGTGTGGTTTTATGCTGTACAATAAACCGCAATTTTTTCACAACCAAAAATAATAAATTACCAAAAGTATAAATGACGACAACTGTTTTCAGGAACTTTCCCCGCACCATCAAACCCCAATTCAATCGAGGTTCAATCGTTCAATTGGAGAATACCGAAGAATCCAACAATACAACTTGAAACATCTTGTTTACCTATGGGACCAATAGCGATGGCAACGAATGGTGTGGCAATTTACAATCCATTCACTATCGGATGTTGTGATGCAGGTAAAAAAAAATTCTAGTATTACTTTTCATTTTTTTTATTTAATTATGAAGAGATTCATTTTTTTAAGTGTTGTTTATATATATGTATCTTTTTGGCTTTTTCGCTTATTATTTGCTAGAGGTATCCAGGAGTTGGGATGGCATATTGAAAATATGTAGTCTTTAATTCTACATTATCCATAAATTAGAGATTGTCTTCTCTAAAATTAATAATGAAAATTGAAAAAGGGTCTAAAAGAAAATTCATATATCGGAATGCAGGTTTTCTGGGCTACTCTAGACTACATGCCTAAAGCAATACAATTCAGACACACAATTTAAGAATTTCTGTTTACTCGACAGGAACTGAGGAACTCGACTTATTCGACATGTGCACTGGCCACCCATCGCCATCTGGGCAATATCACTACCACATATTTCCGAAGTGCTTAAAGGACTTCGGTGATTTTAATTCGACTATTTTCGGTACGTCGTCTGTATTTTAATATTTTCAATCTAGTATTCCAGCAGATATTAATATTATGAAGTACGGCTTCAGTTTCAAGCGAATCCGCGTTAGCGATCAGTATTCAGAATATAGAATTCACAGTTTCACTACCATCGGAAACTTTATATGATGGCACAACTATAGATGGAATTTGAATCGTCTATCGAAATATTCTATCCTTTGGGATTTTGATTACCTCTTTGATTTTTATGCATTGAAAACAAAATACTCACCAGTGTCATGATCCGGAATACCATTGCTTTTAAGGACGAGGGTCTCGGAAAATGTTTCAACCGACACTGTTCCCTGAAGCCCACTATTACCTTCTTCGTGAGTACGTGATTTGAAAAAAGATATTTCGTCAGCTGTCAATGCACTAGCATAATTAATTGATATCACAGAGATTAAACAAAATACCACAAATGATGCCATTATTTTTACACCTTGAAAATAAAAAGGGAAGTTTAAAAATTATTGTGAAATTCGTTGGCCTCTCAAATTTGTTTCTGCGTTTTTGGTAATGAATGATATAAAAATATGCGAAAGTTGGTATCGTCGAAACAACTTAACGAGATTTTTTTTGTTTTACGGATATTTGAACCCATACCAACCCTAACCCATGTGTTTTAGCACCCTCATATAGATTGAACCCGCGGATATACACATGGGTTCAAATGTACGTGGGTTCAAATGTACGGTCACCGCAAAGTACAATAAATCAAAGAGTCCTAAAAGACTGTTACGTCTCCTTGTTGCTCTGAAATATGAAAACGATTGTTGAGCATGTGGTAAAGTCCTTTTTCCAAAGCAGACGCCTACAACTAAATAAATTCCACAGTAAAGACTCCTACGAAAAATGTCTAAATTCGAAATTCATATGATTTAATATAAATTGTGATATTACCTTGTGATATTACAAAGGCATCAGAGTTAATAAAAGTATGCCAAATGGATTGTTAAAACTGTCAAGGTCAAGTTTCTGTTAATAAAGGTTGCTAATAAAATTGCAAATCTTACAATAATTGTATTCAAAGTGACGTATTTCATTATTTTTATGTAAGATAACGCCTACTTGCAGAATTGTAGTACGGTTTAAAAACAAACATTGAGATTAGGTTAAAACCATGTGCCACTAAGATGCAGCCTTTCGCTCATGAGAAATATAATACCGAATATCAGAAAACAATGTTTGTTCAACAAACAGGGTAAAGGTCGATTCTATGCAATACCTGGCACTGAACAACCCCTACGAGTGCCGCGCTAAGAGTTAAGGGAATGTGTAACTTCGGGAATTGCATACTGATATTATAGGCGATCTCTCAGTAGTGAAAAATTTTCTAACTGGCATGGACCACATAGGTTTCCTTTTTTATCCATATTCTCACTAAATAAAACGGTATTTATTTATTTAGATATCATCGATTTTATATTTTACATCAGTATACCGAAATAGAAGTTAATTATGCATTTTGACATATCGCACAAAAGATCTCGATTCTCGCAAAAAAATTTGAAACACTAAAATGTATGCAAGCACCAATTCTGAATAAAGCAAAATGGACGAGCCCAATCAACCACAACATCACCATAACGTTAGCGCATTTGCAAATGTGTTTTAGTTTATTCGCTTGGAGACGTTAATCGCCTTGAAAGTTGCAAGTTACCAACATTCAATTACAACATAATTTGCTGATGTTGCTTATGCGGTCATAAGTTTTGCTACGACATCTTAAATTAATCGAATGAATAGTGAATGCAGTGATTTATTAACTTTTACACCAACGTTTTGCAAACTCCTTGCATCGAGATAAGCAATGCAAGCAAATTATCGGCAGCAAATATACATTATATATACTTGTTATCAGAGTCGCTAAACTCAAAGAAACATTAATATTATTTGGGCTTATGATATAAATAGTATTTTATGAGAAATCCAAAACAATTAAAACATGTAGGAGATCCTTTTATTACCAAGAAATTAATTTCCCTAGCCATATAATACATATTAGACTACAGAGGTTTAGATAAAAACATCAGTATTTATATTGTATCGTCATAAAAAATAGATTTTAAGCGTATTTTTTATGCGATTTACACCTTGTGATAGCGTGGGGCATAGCGTGGTTTCAGATCTCAACTGCATGATAACGGATAATGCAGAGTGGCATATTTGCTAAACATAAACAATGAACAAAAGGTATACAAATGCCTGATTAGACTCCGTTATATAAAGAAATTCTTTTGGATAAATAACATTCTCAAGCGACTGCATACCGTTAAAGCGATCTTTCGCAGAGTAAAATTCAAAATGTTCAAACTTTTGGTCCTAGCATTAGTCTTTGCAATAACACAGGGGACTTTAGGGCTAACCACTGATGAACGAAAGTATTTTAAAGCAAGACCTTACCCGGAACAAAATACCGGAATACAAGGAACAGTGAGTGTCGATGACGACCCCAGGGATGCAAAAGTATTGATCCTGCAGAGCAATGGAATTCCTGATCACGATACAGGTATGATACAGATCGCTACAGAAATTTAAACTTGTTTTCATTTTGTAGCAACCTAACCGAGTTTAAACTTAGGACTTTCGGAACACTAAATTTCGGAAAACAGTGAAAAACTTCCAAAAAAAGTTTTCTATTCAGTATTACATTTGCATGCACGCTTTTTCACTCTAATACCTTTTGTGTTCTGCCGTAGGACAATTCATTTGTGCCTGATATTTTTAAAGATTTAAATGCTTCGCTTGAATCGCAAGATAAGCTCAAGTACCCATTTGTTTGTGTAGAATCGATTTGTTTATCGAGATTTGCGCAGTCGCTCCAACAATACCGCGATCCGCCTCGGTAAATATATACTCAAAAATCGAAGAGAGATAGGAGCAAAAAAGGAGCTAGTCTTAAATGTACCATAACCAAAATCTAATTATAACAAATTTTAAATAATCCTTTTTGTAGGCCTATTCCCGATCCTAACCCAATTTGATGAGGTAAAGATGCAAACTAAAACGTCTCTTGGAGAACGCAATCGTTATGAAAAAGAGGGGAACAGTCGCGATTGTTATCTACGATCACCCAGCCCGTAATGTAAAGATGTATACATAGTGAATTCTACAATCTTCGATTTCACTGATTTTTGGATTTGTAGCTGTGTGGTTTTATGTTGTACAATAAACCGCAATTTTTTCACAACCAAAAATAATAAATTACCAAAAGTATAAATGACGACAACTGTTTTCAGGAACTTTCCCCGCACCATCAAACCCCAATTCAATCGAGGTTCAATCGTTCAATTGGAGAATACCGAAGAATCCAACAATACAACTTGAAACATCTTGTTTACCTATGGGACCAATAGCGATGGCAACGAATGGTGTGGCAATTTACAATCCATTCACTATCGGATGTTGTGATGCAGGTAAAAAAAAATTCTAGTATTACTTTTCATTTTTTTTATTTAATTATGAAGAGATTCATTTTTTTAAGTGTTGTTTATATATATGTATCTTTTTGGCTTTTTCGCTTATTATTTGCTAGAGGTATCCAGGAGTTGGGATGGCATATTGAAAATATGTAGTCTTTAATTCTACATTATCTATAAATTAGAGATTGTCTTCTCTAAAATTAATAATGAAAATTGAAAAAGGGTCTAAAAGAAAATTCATATATCGGAATGCAGGTTTTCTAGGCTATTCTAGACTATATGCCTAAAGCAATACAATTCAGACACACAATTTAAGAATTTCTGTTTACTCGACAGGAACTGAGGAACTCGACTTATTCGACATGTGCACTGGCCACCCATCGCCATCTGGGCAATATCACTACCACATATTTCCGAAGTGCTTAAAGGACTTCGGTGATTTTAATTCGACTATTTTCGGTACGTCGTCTGTATTTTAATATTTTCAATCTAGTATTCCAGCAGATATTAATATTATGAAGTACGGCTTCAGTTTCAAGCGAATCCGCGTTAGCGATCAGTATTCAGAATATAGAATTCACAGTTTCACTACCATCGGAAACTTTATATGATGGCACAACTATAGATGGAATTTGTTGAGATTTTTTGTTCGTGATAGATTTTTAATTTTTATGATATTGGTTAGAGATTTAGGTAAAGACAACTTCACAAATATTTTATCGTTAATGAACTAATTTTAATAACTATGCTTGTGACATATTGCTTTATAATCAGGTGTTGCATTCGATGGATTTCCAATTTACGGACCCGAAGATGAATTTGGTAACGAACTCACAAATGCTGACCTGGATGCTTGTAATGGTAGAACTGACACTTATGGCAATTACAGGTATGTATTTGCATTCATTTTTTGTTGTGCGTTCTCTTATTTTGTTATTTTATATAATAATTTCAATTTTATATTTTTAATTTGTACGCGAATAAACAGATATCACATCACAAACGAATACCCATATTTCATGGGATGCTACAGTGGACGAGTGAGAAAGGACGTTGGCAATAATGTTGGATCAACAACGGATTGCCAGTGTCTCGAGCCCGTTGATGTTTGTACAGAGTTTGTAAGTAATAAATATATCACCTAACATACCAAAGCACTGAGTTTATTTAATAGAAAACAAAAGAAAACATAGTTATAAACAAACAATTGTAAAACGTCAGTATAGTTCGCTAAGTGAGACATAAACTCACGGAAACAATTGATGAAACTTTTTTCAAAATTGTTGCAAATATCAATTCGATATCGATAAACAAAAATTTAATACAAAACTTTCAATATGATAACAATCAAATTGAGTACGTAAATATGTGGAAAAAGTATTTGATATCCGTTTACTGAGTACTATTTTCATGCAGGGCGGTGGTGGAGGTGGCGGACCACCTCCTCATCCTGGACAAATAATCATAGATGATCCTGGCGATGGGGCTGGGGCAATATCTGCAAATATTGCAGTACTGGTTATGGCGGCATCTACTGCAATTTTCAGAATACTCTATGAATGAATAAAAAAAATATTGGTAACAGACAGTTTGATTAAAATGTGTGAACAATTTTTTGTGATCGCGTGTGAATAACATATATTTAAAACCGGAATTAAGCTGTATATATGGGATGATTTATAATGGTTCTATCACAGCTTTTAAATAAACTATGAAATTGAATATCATGTAACTGATAATGAGTTCTGCCCCAAGAATTTAAATATAATATTGAGATAGATTACACGTACGCTCCTAATTCATTCTTCACGAGAGATATGAGCTATAGTTAACGTTGGTCATGGGGGTTTTCTGAAACGTTTGAAGTTTCATTTGTAGAAGAAATTTTGCACACTTCCATGAAGCCACCCGTTTACCCCTGGCTTGTTTGTCCCGACGTCATTGATGAAACATCCAGAAGACGTCAATTTAATAACGAGAATATCGGTCAGAGACTGAAGACTTATCGATCGAAAGTTAGGGGATCCCAAAAACAGCGCTCCTACTCCGTAGTGACACCTTGTGTCCCGTCACTAATTAATCAATACCTCTCTAAGTATACGACATAATTCATCCAAAATCAATAGGCTTCTGGTCCGACATATGATGAATGCACATGCAAAATCTGGAGCAGATTCAATTTTGCTTCCGTGAGATATCGCGTGCATCTAACATACAGACAGATAGACAGACAAACAGACAAATACCTATCAACATACTTAAAACACACCGACAACATACACCGAATAAAATCGATAAGTAATTAATTGGCTAGTCGTGCAAAAGCCTTGTTACCGTGGATGCGCCGAAAATAGGTATACTAAGACTAATGAAATCAATCATAAAAAGCTTGGGCCACATATTATCCCCACTACAGAATCACTAGTTTTCTAAGCCATATTCGTAAAAATCTGACCCATTTTACCACAATCAAATATCGTATCCCATTATGGAATCTACCTTCATGAAAAATCAGTTATCAAAGCAAGTTGACAATCGAATTCAAATTAGATATTTTCGTATAATTTGTCGAACCTATTAGTAATGTATTAGCAAGGTTCTGCACAATGTTCATAAACGCAGTCGACGATCTGCGGGTTGGACTCTTCAAATAATACTCTCGCATGGCGTAAACAAACTACAAGCTTTTTTTTCACAATTGATTGAACCTAATCTCAAATAGAAGAAGCGTTAAGGTATTGTATTCGCCGACGTTAATTGGTGACCATGAATCATGCTAGCAGAAGAAGTGACAAAAAATGGAAGCATTAGAAAGGACAGCTGTGCCAAACGCAAGCGACAAATTCTCCATTTGGTTTGTTAAACTAAGATTTAAAAATCCGACAAACCAACATACAATCGAATTTTATATGATGTGAAATATATATCCGAGCACTGATGTCCGGGTGTTTATTTGTGAAATTTTTGAATAGCAAACAAGTTACGAAATTATTCTTTCGTGGATCTGGTAGATGAAATATAAAATGTATATTCCTCACAATAAATCCATTATAGCTTGTGATACTGAACAGTATTTGCAAGATTTTGATATACATCATCTGTTAAGGACAAGGTACAGCCATCGACTAATTCGGTCACACGCTATTTCTGTTGTATAGGCAAATATATCCTCAACATTCGTAATCACTATTATCCAACTCGAATCATTTAACATATCATCTAGTTTTTTTGTATTGAATAGGTTAAAACTAAAACAAGAAAAATAATTGTAAAAACTAGCCGATTGCTTCTTTTTCACTATAAACTCTTCGAAACGCCACAAACATCGATTACTTGCCCTTATACGCCTTCCTTGTAAAGCTGTAACGCAATGCGTCCGCACACGTGGTTGGCGGAGGAAGAAGCAACCGATAAGCCATTCCGCTAAACACCCAGTAATCCTTTAGCACATTGTCACATTCTTCCTGGAATTCGAACCAGCCTCCAACCCCTTTTCAGAAACAAAATAAAAATAGTAATGACATTTTTCTTAAGTTTTGAGGTGTACCCAATCAGAAAATAATTATTAGAATCGAGGAACAAAATGTGTGTCACAGTCTAATTTATGCAGCATATCGCGAATACGTCTGTAAACAATGTATGAAGAGACTAATTTAAGTTTTCTACGTGGTATTATATGACATTTCTGAGCATATATTGTGCAATAAATCACTTTACATTATAGAATATGGCTATTACTATTTCGTTACGCGATGTACAAGGCAAGGCGAAATTCTCTAGGATTTTCAAGAGCCGTTCATAGCACATATAGTAAGTAATACAGAATCAAGGTTTGCCGATGAGCGGCAACGAAGAAAAATGCATTAAACAGCAGATCTTATCACTCTAAAGCATTTTGTAATAAAATACTTTAACTGTTACGTCACGAAATTCTATAGATATAACAGACTTCATTTTAACAATATGCTTGTATAATTAAATATCCAAAAATAATTTTCAAATAGCCAAATAATACTATACATTTATATTTTGAACAGTAAACGAAAAAATTATTCCAATTATCGCTTTTGGAAATTTGCAAATTATCATCATATTAATTGATTCAATAACGTCACAGTATTCCCGCAATTCCTTTCATAACTTTTCAACGTAAGGAAATATTTATTAAAACTTTTTCGAATGTTTTGTTTACCCATTAGAGAGTTTAGTGCCTTTCAAAGTCAGTAAAGATAAAGGTGGTATTTATTCAAAATATTAAGATAGGCAAAATACTTTCGGTGATTTTAATCATAATAACGTAAACCACGTGATATATATTATTAGCAGGGATCCATTTTAAATCACAAGCATATCATCATGTACCGCCAAAATTAATATTGAAGCTGAATTTAGCAACAGCAACAACAACAACAACAACAATTTTTCCAGAACATTTTCTTTTTTACTGTTTTTGAAACTTTCTCGAAATCTTTTGATGAATTCAGAAGACTTGTTGAAGCTTGAAGTAACTGATCAAGATTTTCGTCGCGTTCCAATAATGCTTCACAGTTACTTGCCATTAAGTTTTGCACATCTTGAACCTGATCCGAAAAAAGATTTTTGCTGTTATGGGATGAGCGATTGTCAGTTGCACCATACTTTATGTTTGAATGATTTTTTACTAGCAATGAATCAGATTGCAAATGATCAGATTTTTCAAAATCATGCTTATTTTGGAGATTTTCAACAGTACGCATTGATTGATGTGGCTCAGTATTGGTTTTGAAGTCAGGTGTTGTAAAATTCAATGCGTTTTTAACTAATACAACTGGGACATCATTGACATCAAGATCCTCATTCAACCATGAGCAATTTTTTTCTACTTTCGAATAAGAAGTTTGTTCATTTTGATTTGGAAAATGAAGGTCACTTTTTGTATCACCTCTCTGAGAAGTTATATCATTATTTGACTCTAATAGTGTAGTTGAACGATTTTTAGAGTCGATCCTAAGTCTTTGATTGTTTTCCACTTTTTGTTTTGCGTTAAAGTTTGTATATTCTTTTTTCAGTTTATTTCCCTGTGACGACGATTCTCCACGAGTTGATTCAGTATTTTTGATGTCTTCACTATCATTAAGAAAACGGGGTTTACCTCCTCCTTTAGATGCATTTGGGTCGTTCTTTTTTTTCTTTTCCTTCTTTAGCCAATTAAATATTTTCCTTTTTTTCTTCGTCGTCGAACTTATATTATTTTCTGAAGGCTCATCATTCTTTTTGTTCATAGCGTTAACTGTCTAACATACTATTTGCCAACTCCGATCAACTCTTTTTATCTTATAAGTACGTTTAATGAAAACTAAAACTAAATAATTTTAGTTATAGTACAACGTTTAAATAACAAAAATAATAATACATCAGCAAATATACCACATATATTTAATTCAATAGTCTTGCTGTAAACTAGCGCAAATGTATTTCTGTAACGTTTCGTCTGACCGGAATCAGACTCTTTCAGACAAGCATAGAGCAGAAAAAGGTAAGTTAGTTTTGCGCAACCCCATCTGATAGTTAAATATAACACGCAAGCAATTCGACCAATAACCACATAGGCATCAGAGATAAATGTCAAACAGTTAAATAAGTGAGGACAAAGGCGCATGTTAAATTTATACCGAGTTTTTAAAATCACGAACACGCGAGACCGCAAGTATCATAGCAATTAGTTGCAACGAACACCCTACTTCCTCTGTTCGCTACAAATTGATTAGGCCATCGAAAACAAGACAATTCCGATAATTTGATATATTTTCTGTTACTGGACAAACCTATGAGCTGCCTAAAAAGTTTTTTTTTTCTTCTTCTAGTAATATTGCATTGGCGAACGCAATGATGTTTTCTAATTAGCCTACGTCATCCGCCTAGTCATTCATCATATATATAAATTTCTTGTTACGCCGCAGCAGATCAATACTAATAGTTGAACACCTAATTATTGATTCACAAAATAAGTATATTAATGATTTATGGCATATAATTTATATAACATTAGTCTATAACGTATCGCTACAAGAAATAATTATATCTTGACCCGTTTTGTTATCACTCGACTTATTGATATTTTGGCACGATCAACTAGGGGGAATATTTTTTTAAGAATGCTTATCCGTGTCATTAATAGGTTACTCCACCATTTTCTTTCCCCAATCCGGCTATATGGTAGAGACCTCTGGCATTGAACCGTTGTCGCTGAACAGCTGTTTGGTCGCGCGTCTGCGATTGTGGAATCTGGCTTCGGTAAGATAAAAAAAATTACGTCAAACAAAGACGGCTTCGTTTTGCGCGTTATCTCTTATTTAGGTTTTGATATGTTAATTTCAGTGTATTTTAAGGGGGTTTCAGCATTTCTAAAAACAACTTTTATTAACGTTTGTCTACTTTTTTGGATTGATCGGCTAAATATTATTCATTTGTACGTTTTCGGGATGACTGGGCCCTTTAAAATCTATGTTTTAGGTTTGAGTGGGATGATTTCCTATTTTTTCATGCCATCTGAAATTTGTGTTGTCATGGTAAACAATTACTAAATTTTGGTAAATATTACTGAAAATGTATAATGACACATCCGACGACGATCAAACCCCGTTGATAAAACGAAATGTCGTTATGTTTTCCATCAAATCCCTGCTTCTGAAAACAAATAACTGATTATCTAATTCCATACCTGACATGGGCTGGTAACCGGACGAGAGACAGTGGCTCGCCGTATGATTAAGCCTTATCACCTTTCCTCTCCCCCGGGATAAATATGCAAATTCTATCCTATTCTAACAAGCCGTGAGTAGGCGATGTGGAGTAGCGAGAATATATGGTATTTGACGTACAGGACATCGCCAGAACATGATTACCAACCTTGGCAATGATAGGGTTTAAAAAGCATTACGTCTATTCTTGTGATTTTAAAATATCTTTATCGCGGAATCCGCCGACTAGCTTTTGCAACATCTTCTTTTATATAATCAGCAGTTTTTCAATGGTAATCACCTAATGCTGTATCAAAGTATATTTAATTAGATTTGAAATTTTCGATCATCTAAAGTCCCGAACCGATGGAAGCATGTAACTTTTACAGAAATAAGAAAAGCGCACCTCTAGTTAGTTTTAGGTATTATTGTGCAAAGTATTCAGATATTCAAACCATATTTTACATTCATTCAATCCGTAGCTTTAAAAAAGTAACGAAATTATTTTGAATTGAGTCAAGATTAGCTTTGGTCGCTATTGATTCTGGCATAATGTTTACTGGGTGATATACCGTGACCTCAGCATATCCTATTAGGTTTGAGGTATCGATGACACAATTCAAACAGTTTTTGCGGCGCATTCATTCTCTGATGATGGTGTCTAGTTAAATAATTGAGTTTGATTCAAAGTATATTTAGCTATTGTGGGAAACTTGAGTTTCTACTAATATTTATTTTCTCCTCATCTATCATTCTGAAAGTAATGATATGCCAACGCCCGAAAAGCACATATTGCTCGATCAAAACAAGCTATGAATAGAAATATCTGCAAAATATCAATTATGGATATTACATAAAGTTTTTTTTTAATGAAAAGATAATTTTCGAGGATCGTGTGCTGCAAGATTGTTTGGAGTAAAAATTCAAATTCAAAAGTGCTTTGTTTTTCGGGACATTTCGTTGAGGAGAATTTTGATATATCAGCCATGTGTTCTGACCTAAATCGTCTCGACGTTTGTCACGGTTACGCAAAGTTTACACGGATGAATGGGTGACTATTTTTACACCACGAGAAAATTAGCTATATAGATAGCGTTGTCTTTTCCAAAACCATATGACACGGAGGTGCATCAGGTAGTAGAGATAAATAACTCGTAATAGCCGACAGAAATACTGGGTTAGTACATAGTATCTCTTATTAGTAACGCAAGAACATTCCACGTTGAGTCGTGTACAGAGAACCCCTCAATAAATATATCAAAATATCCTAATTAGTTTACCAGTCTCACTGTAGTGTATGTTGTATAAAAAAATTATCTAAACATGTTCAAAGTCATTGCTATTTGCTTTGGACTGCTTTTATCCATATCGTGGGTAAATCGAGGGAATGCACTGTCAGACGCCGAAATTTCTGCTTTCGTGTCAAAGACCTACATTGAGACAAACACTGGTGTGCAGGGAACCGTATCTATTACAACGCCTTCGTCCGATCCAAGTGTTTTGGAATTATCAAGCAACGGAGTGCCAGATCACGCAACAGGTATATTTAAGAATTAATTTTCTTTAAACTTCTTTCATCACGACCCACTTGGCACGGCCAAAATTTTGGCGACCCTAAAAAAAGCAAAAATAATAAATTAAAATTTATTTCAGAAAATATTTGAAAATATAATGAAATTGACAATACCGTTAACGAGACCGATGTGCTTGCATATCGCAAGAAAGTTAGTGTCGAAAAATATTCTACCCTATTCTACCCTAATATTTTTAGGCGACCAACCGGAGAGCCAGGACCCCCAGTTTGAAGAGTCCTGGTAGAGTTTAAAATCGTATCATTTCGGAGCTGTGTTTTGAAGTGTTTCCGTATAATATCATACTTTAGTTTAAGGCCTCAACGCTTCGGGCCGTATAGAGATCGAGATTTAATTTCGAACTGTTATTCATTTTAAGACTTTTTTTTTTAATTTTGAACGCTCGTTCAATAATTTTACCGGTTCAAAATATTTCAAACTGATATTTATTTTCTTTTATCGATTTAATGGTTCTTGTCTCAAATATCCCCTTTTAAAAGATTATTAAATACAGGCGAATGAATGACTTTTTCCAAATTTGAAAAACTCTACCCTTTATTTACTATTTTCGATATTTTTCTATCGTTTGATTAGAAATAAAATGAAATGCAAATTTTTATGATTGGTAGTATAATATTTGTAACTGAACTTAGAACTTAACTGACCTGAATACACAACATAAATGAAACTTACAAAAGCACGATTGCGTGGCGCTATAAATAGAAAACTCGAATAAACTAGACTAATAAATACAACAATATTCATACAGGCACTTTTCCAAGTTCCAGTAATCCGAACAGTTTAGAAGTTCAATCATACAACTGGAAAATACCCAAGAATCCAACTTATGGAACCACAACCACTTGTTTGCCACAAGGACCGATAGCGATGGCGGTCAATGGCGTTCCAATGTTTAATCCTTACAGCATTGGATGTTGCGACACAGGTGATAGATAAAAAAAATATTGAATATTCTGTGCACATTATTTGGTGAGATTGAAGAATAGTGCAGTGATTTCTCACAGGCGTGAGAAATCAAGCATAAAAAGTGAGAAATTTACGTGACGTGTCAGACTAGACGAAAAAATTCCAATATTTGTGTATCTGGATTTTTACATTTCAATCTTCAGCCTCTAAAGTATATAGTAAGAAACGATGAAAATTTAATTCATAAATAAATAATTGAGACTGGGACGGAGTGCTAGAATTATGAAATCACATACACAACTTCAAGACATGCTTGAATGAAGCTATATTTTTGATTTCCCGGTTTGTATTTCATATCAAATAGGGGTGGAAGAATTGGATTTGTTTGATGTATGTTTCGGACATCCCGCTCCTGCTCCAGCAGGTGCTTACCACTATCATCTTAATCCAACCTGCCTTTTTGAACTCAAATGCAATGAACCATCGACCATCATAGGTAAGTAATGTATATACATTTGATAGTTTTGATACAGAGCATTTCCCAATAATCATTAATTTAATGTCACGTCACTCAGCCGTGATTTTACCCGAGTTAGGCAACAGGAGTTTACGCCAGGGTCCCGAAGACAATGATGAACAAGAGAGTGAAGCTAAAATGTATAGACACGGAGGCAAAAACGATTTAATACGGTACTACCCGTCACGTTTACATGAAACGTGGAAGGCTGTCGTCGCGGTGTCATAAAAACGTTCCACCATGAACAAAACTAAAACAGCGGAATTTGAGATAAAATATCAGATCTCATAGGAAATGTAGGAACAAATATAAGCAAGATTCTTCTGGCGACAATAACAATCTTTAACCAATGGAAATTTGTAAACAATTGGTCCAGTAATTGAAGAGAATAGAATAACATAACAATCCATATGTGCATTTCGTGTACAATAAGTGAGGCATGTGGGACATTTCTGTTATAGGTAAAGTGTGTGATAAGGGGGCAAGCGTGGGATAAATAGGGAACGACATTTGTGAGATGCCGCAAATTATATACCCGACTAAGCTTGGGTAAATTGGCAAAGTCTTCAACGTACCGGTAGCTAAAAATTGTATTAATTTTACGTCATTTATGGTGATATATACAATAGTATGAGGGTATACCATTCAAAATTTAGAAGATTCAGAATATTTTTTCAAACCGGAGAGAAATGTCTATAAACATTTACAATGGTAGAAATGTCGTGGGTTGTAGTCAGCGACCGAACTGTACTGTGCGTTATCACGCTGGATGATCATTTAAACAAACTTGCTAGTAAATATAATTGCTTGAAATGGAGTAAGATATGTATACAACAGATATTCATTTATAACAGTTTTATAATATAAAAATCTATTTTTTTTTTTGTTCCAGGTGTGGCTTTTGATGGATTTCCGATTTACGGTCCAAATGATGCGGATGGTACGTTGCTAACCACAGCCGACCTTGACGAATGTAATGGAAAAGTGACCAATGGAGAATATAGGTAAGGTTTTCGCTGACAGAATAAACAGGATTCTTTTTTAAAAAAAGAATTTTCAAAGGCAAACTCATATACTCAAGCAAACGAGAAGCATGCTTAAAATTGTTTCCTTAAAAGTAATTTTTTTTTATCCCTGCGAAAAAAGTTATATTCGCTGACTGCAACATTAAACCAACATAAACAGGATCGACCTTTCTTTGTTTCATTCGCTATGCTTATTTATAAATTTTATAAATATTCCTTGAAAATTTCACGCTTCTATCTTTTTTTATTACAGTCAGGTAAAATCCACAAGGTAATATTCATATAATCACAATGATAACTACAACGATAATGACATGAACAAAGACACAAAGATTACGTGACTCAGTACTGTATCTAAGCAGACGTTGTGATCCTAATTTCATTTTCAGATATCATATAACAAATGATTTTCCATATATCATGGGATGTTACAACGGGACGGTACGAAGTGATGCCGGAATACAAATAAGTACCAACTGTCAATGCACTGAAGTCGCTAATCCTTGCACAGAATTTGTAAGAAATGTTTTCTGGAATATTCCTTTGTAACTTTATTGGTCTATAAAAACTTGGTGTATCGTTTGTAATAATTATATTAAATACAACCAACAGAAATAAGCCTTTTCTCTGAATAAATGTGACAAGAAATTACTGAAGTCAGCTTTGTCCATTTTCGTTTCATTAAATGTAAATCAATTTTGTTTAGGGTGGCAGGCGAAGAAAAAAGAGGGCAGTTACGGATATTTCGTTTCAATGTTGCGTAGATAACGTAAACTGCACAACGTCTGAAGTCACAACTGGCGATTCAAACATTGTTTCTTCAGCATCAGTTACATTGGTGTCCTCAACATCAGCATCAACAACAAGTTCTGCAATTTTATTCCGTAGTTATTTTTTCTTGATTATCTCCTTATCATTTATTTCATTTAAATTTCAGTTGTGAAAGAAACAACTCGAATTCACTGTTAGAAAGATGCAATTTTTTCTATTGACTGCGATTGTATTTCAAGTTACAATGCATGAAGAAATATTCCGTGCCGTGCATTTTTAACTCTCAGGGTTTATAAAAATTTTATTGGTGAAAAAAGGAGCATTATTTTTTCTTCATTTTTGCAGCATATCACTTATATATGTTCATTGAATCATTTAAAATAATTCCTAACTATCACGATAAGCTATTACAATTGAAAGTAGAGTAATATGATTGAATGTGATGGAATTTGAACCACGAACAAACCTAAGATTTGGTGTTTATGATGTCATGAATAAGTTGACGGAAACTACTGACAAGTGATGAATATATATGTTCCTTCGGCAAATAAAAATTAATAATATTTTTATGCATAGATACAGGAAACAATATGAATTAAATATAATAAAGATTATTGACTTTTTTTCATCATGTGTAAATATTTACATTGTGCTAACGTAAAGTAGTAGCGTTTTAAGATTCTGATTGGATGAGGAACGAACGGGTTTAAAATCAACTGTCCGGAACTGTTACTATAACGGTTATGAAAAACTCCCGCTTATTTGGTTCGCTTATTTTTTCGTTTCGATCCTAACTTTAATTTCATTAGAATTCTGGAATTTCAGGAAGACAATTTTTGTTTTTATCAAATGCTTTTTCGCCTGTTTTGCTAAATATGCCTCCCAAACAGATTGTATACGATGCCACAATTGTTCACGTTACAGGCAGTTCTGGAGGATAGCCAAGTCATTAAAATGGTATCATCCTATTCCCTTGCTTGTTGCAGAACTTTGATTTTAAGTAACATATTCTTCAGAGTAAGGTCTAAACCAGGGGTCGGCAAACTTTTGTCGTTTGCGGGCCAAATTAAAGGTTGCAAGTCATTGACGGGCCGCACATATCTTTAGAAAGTTAAAAACCGAGGGAATTGTCAATGAATTTCAGATTTCAGTTAAATTTCAAACATCGCGCGAAGACTGATCATTTGATTATTTTCTGCGCCATTAAACAATTTGCACTCAGCATCAACGTTTTTACGTTCTGTTGCCATTTGTCGGTACTCCTGAAGTATGCGCACCAAGATGCCGCATAACCTGAACCCTATAACCTGGTACACAACCTGAGTTCAGATTGTGCGCCATCTTGATGCGCATACTTCAGGAGTTCCCATTTGTCTAATTATAATTAATTTATAGGCTCAATAAATGAGTGCTTGTGAATTATATACTTGTTAGGTTATAATATAATGTAGTGTCTCAAAACAAATTCTGTTACGTAAAGAATATAATCGCCAATACAGTTGTTTTGTTAATATAATTCAGTGAAGCGTCGAGGGCCGGATTATATTGTTACGCGGGCCGGATGTGGCCCGCGGGTCGTAGTTTGCCGACCCCCAGTCTAAACGAACAATTCTGTGTCATTGAATGGTTGCATAAGCTGTAATGTCCATTTCTGCTATAATATACTTCGTGTTCAACCTTCTTCATGCGTTTTCTTCGAAGCCTGAGATCATGTCCGATAGTAATCAAATTCTGTCCCCGCACAGATAAGAAATAACAAAGTTGTAAGTTTGAAGATTTTTGACGGAAAAAGACAGATTGACTATATCCAGGGCTGCCATAACGTCCTTATTTATAACGTTAACCAAAAAACAATTACATTATGGTATAAATTCGTCATAAATCCGAAGGCACAACTGCCGTCGCTTTCTCGTGAGAATAGAATTAATACAAAACAAAACAAAAGAGCAAAATTGCTGCATTCTACTAAATCAAATCCACGTTGTTTCTGTGGAAAATGATAGTTATGAAATTAGCACAGAGTATCGAAATAAAGTACAGGTATCATATTGGTGCAACCAAAATACGGATTAGAAAATGCTGACAATTTAAATTATATGTGACATCACAATTATCTGAATGCGATGCAATCCGTCTTGCACAACAAAGAAATCATGTAACATATCTCTGAAAAAAATTTTGTGCAATATCTAAAAGCCCGAGGATTTGTATCAGAGATACACTGTATCAAAAATCCCTGACATTTAATCACTTTCTAATATTCTCCCGGGCGCAAATTTGTCCACTAAAATCTCGGACATGTCCGGGAAAAAACTGACGTATGGCAACCCTGAATTAGTCTCAGCAACAGGATGTTTTCAAAAGATAATTATAATTTTAACGAAACTTTTTAATTATATCATCATTTTATACGACATAGCTATTCATGGAAAATACATGGTTGAGCATGATCATATTCTTGACGAGGTATTGCACAATTACAAAATTGCTTTGAATCTGAATAAATGTTTTCATTTCTTCAGAATGAAATTTAAATCATGGGCCATAAAATTACTGATGATGGAGTAAAACCGTGAATATCAAAAGGGAAGGCAATTTTAAATTTATCAATTCCTAAATTAACTAAAGAAATTGCTTCTTTTCTTGGGAGTGCAAATTTTTACTTGAAACCTGTCTAATTATGCCGATATTGAAAAGTCACCAAGAAAAATATTGAAATTAGGCGCTGATGAACTACAACGAAGATTGGTAAGCGCACCAACTTTGTCGTATTTTGATCCAGCAGCTGCAACATTTGTTTCCGTAGGTAACTCGAGCGGAGCTCTTGGAGCAATTCCATCACAAGTTATAAAGGGCCGAAAGGAACCTGTAGTCTTCGCTTCGAGGACTGAATAATAATATTCCACCGGTTAGTACAAAGCATTAGCATGTACCATTGCTGTTGATATCTATATGGTCGTAAATTTACATTGAGAACAGATCATATATATGCCAGTAACTACGCTTATGTAAACGACTTGTTCGGGACCTACAGTATTACATAGAATCATAGATGGACAGACTGCGTATACAATATTACAACTTGATGCGTATTACAACTTGAACAAATTTTACTTAACCAATAGCATTTTACTATTACATTAATAACTTTTACATTGTACCATCCTTATTGTGTAAGCTGGGGTGTGCATTGGCGGAGCCAGAAGCTCTCGATTTGAATATCGTATTGACCTTATCTCTTGCACCCGTCGACGGCAATGTCACAAAACCGACACCCACCCTAGAATATATAGAACAGCGCCATCAATACGAAAATAAAAATTAAGCGACCAGAAACTCGTCCGTGCGGCGTATTTTGCTAAGCGTTAGGATTAGACCAGGGGTGCACAACTCAAATGAGGATACGTGCCAAATTTTTCAAAATAATCTTTTCGCGTGCCAGGCACAATTGTGGTATTGTAAATAAACTCCAGTAAAACAAACAAATTGCAATAACAATACATAATAACGAATATCTATTTATTGATACAATTTAATTGTCCTGAAAAAAACTGCTGATTTTGATATAAACGTGATATTTTAATGTATATCATAAATATTTTTTTTTTTACAAAACCGTTCGCGTGCCACGTTTGAGCGTATGGCGTGCCAAATTTGACACGCGTGCCTCGTGTTGTGCACCTCTGGATTAGACTTCTGGTTAACCTGCGCGGGTTCGCTGATTCGTAGTTCGTGTAGTAATATTTTGTATGGGAGGATTGCTCATTGGAATATTTATGTGGTACCTTGTCTTGGTGGAATTGTCTACGGTGGAAATAAAATTCTCAAGACGATGCATAATATGCAACTTTATCATTTCAATCGTAAAATTTATTTATTCAAATTTGATACATCATCCTCACTTTTTTTTTCAAATTCAATTCTTTTCATATCGAAGTAGAGATATCACAATTGCATATGGCTTCTTAATTCTTTAAACGAATTTTCATTTCTGTTGTCTTCATTGAGTACAACTTTGTATCTTTCCAATAGTACCAGGATGCACCATCTTGAACTGTATGAAGACCGACTGGGTAATGTCCACCTTTGTAATATACGCCATTCAGATGAGACAGATTGCAGCCAGTGAACCACCAACCACCTTTTAGGTCTTTAGCACAGTTTCCGTCATCATCTGTATCGTTATCCCTATCCTTTGTACTGAACGCCATTCCGCTGTGATGGGAGAGGGAATCCCCGGCAGTACCGGAATATCCGGATACAGTGAGCTGATAATTACTCGATGTACCACCCATTGAAAATTTGCTAATATAAAATTAAAAAAATGAATTTCAACAATACTAATTTATCACATTATATATAATTGAAAACATTTGCTTTATATAGAATTATTAAACATATCACCTGTACAGAGCGTATGCTGAATTTCCTTCCCAGTCACTTATATCAACTCTGAACTCAAATTCACCGCTCGATAATAATGTAACCACGTCATCCAGTCCTGCAACAATATAGTACAAGATAGATAAATATTGAGGAAAAATTTAACTTTTAATTAAATTTTTTTTGCGAGAGATTCGACAGTTCAGCTGACTAATCAACAATGGCACGTACTGTGTATAGATAGACGTGTATGATCAATATGATGTTTCTCATCCACAATATGATGAAGAGGCGTTGTAAGTCAATACATCTTACCAAGCCAAAATTCACCGGATAGTGTTCCAAATCCTTTGACATATTGATCCCATTCTCTGTCAAAACTCAGTTTTCCATTGAAACGGCGTTGAATTACCTGGAAATCAATAAAAACTATGTTTCATTCGTATTTAATTGCTATTGGGAAGCTTGTTTTCAACAAAAAGTTGGTGTATTTATCAAATTCGCCATTCAAATATATTGTTTAATGCAACGTGTGGCTATTACGATATCGATACGCTCGAGATTCCTTTTCATATTTCAATCATCGGTAGTAGAAAAAATACATTTTAAATACTTACAACCCATCCTCCTCCATCAGTCTGTGTATCGCAATACACTGATAAACCTTCTGGATAAGCTATTCCGTATATCGTGTATATTCCGGATGTTCCAGATTTCGGGCATTCTGAAACATCATTTTAGTGAAGCTTCGGATTAAAAATCTTTATAGTTGTGTAATAAACAAAATTATACAGTTTCTTTAAATTTAGTATTTTGTCACTTTTGCTCGTCCAGCATGAAATTTTCTTATTTAGGTAAAGTCTCTTTTTTACTTTTAACAAGTTTATATTATTGTAAATATTGAAAACATGCAATTAGTTAATCTGGAGCATTTAACAACGTTACAGAAATACAATTGTGTAAGTGTGCAGCAAGACTCTTGAATTAAATTCAACAACAACATGCGGAAATTTGTACCTTCAAGCTTGATCTTGACACCAAGTTTGTCTTCCACAGCTCTTAGTCGTGCTGTAAAAAGTACTCGTATATTTTTTTACAATTCAAGATATATTTCCCTTTTTTCTGACAATAAGGAAAAAGATTGTCAGGTCTTTTTTACAAAAAGTTCTATAACCAGTTACCACGTATAAATCTATTCCAGAAAGTGCTCATTGCAAACAACAAATTTACGACGAGTTGTAAAGGTAACTCGCTCAGTTCAATCACTTTTGGCAATAATGGTTTAAAATAATAGCATGATGAGAATTAAATAAAAATTTGACTGGCAAGTATGAACACGAATGCGGATTAGTCTTGCGGAATACATTACCGTATAAAACACTTGAAGTATATCATTTCAAATCGAAAGATATTTGCACAATATTCATTTTTAAACTGATTGAAACTTCATTCTCTATTCAAAGAAAAAAAGAGTAGTCTCTACCTATAGTAAATTTTTGACCTTCGTTTCCATGTATTTGAGCAATGCTTTCCTGTCATAATTTGCTTTACAGAACATATCACTTATGACTATGAGTTACCTTCAATGTTCAGCATTTCTTTATTTTTCTGGTCACTTCTTGCGTCGGCCTTTTCCATATATGATTGAATTTTGCGAACATCATCTGCTACGGGATCTTTAACAATCAGAAGTTTTATTTCTTAACAAGTATTTAAATGAACGGTGGATATCTATTTTTTTATAACGTTATTACATACAGTTGCAATATTTTTTGATTGATTATTTGAGATAAAAAGGCCGAATGCACCATATTTAGGGAGAATTCAACACACACAGGAACGGTCCTTAATCTCTTTCCAGGCAACTTAAACAACGTGGTTGGACTAATTATAGGAATGCGCAAGAACAACTTCAAAGTAATTTAGGACCTAGGTGACTTATCAGTCATACAATATTTGTAATCAGTCGAGAAGTAATGTTCATCATTGTTATAAACTGCTCTCAGGGAGGTCTTACTTCACGTTCAGACGAAACGTTACAGAAAAAAATTTGTGAAAATAGGACGCTAGATTTGTGAACTACTCAATAACTCAATCGTGTGTTGTATCAAAATATATCACTGAAAGTATTAAACGACTATGATACTCAACGGTAAGTTGAGGTGCGCTGTGTTCATTCCAATATGGGAATTGAATAAAACCTAATAAATTGAACATGTTTTATATAACAGCTACATTATTTTCTATAATTCTCTGAAAGAATGCTTTTCAATAGTATCACATATACAAATATCGATTAAGTCATTTTCATTACTAGATAACCATGCCATTTGTTTACTAACCTAATGTGTACTGCATTTTCTCGGAAACAATCTTCTGAACTTTGTTTTCGAAATTTTTATGGGGTTTACATTGAAAAACTTCATCGTCGTCAACTTCTCCATTGGCAATTCTGGTAAATAGGCAAAGCACGATAACTGCAGGGAAATGCATGATTTTCACTGTCTCCTGAGCAGGTACACAAGGCGTATATTATCAAAAGAGATAAGCACAAAAATCAACAATACCTAGAACTAACACACCCGGGGCAAAAAATGCTGCAACGTGGTATGAATTTTTGTGTTTCTTTGGAAGTTAATTGCTTGAGGCCGAAAATGAACACCACATTGAAATTGAGTTATGTTGTTTAACCGGATTACTTATGCAAACATTCCTGGTTTGGCAATCATTTTGGCATGCGTAAAAATGCTCTATACAACAAGATGACAATTTATATAAGTTTATCATATTTTTTACCCATTGAACGAAGTTAATGAAATGGTCAAATAAATTCGTGTATATGCTAATGATTTCGATAAAAAATATTTCGTTTTTATGCACACTATTTACGACGCGGCAATAAATCTGCGAGTAGACTGCGTCTGTATGGAACCTTGAAGAATTCAATCCAACCCTGCCAGGGAAACAACTATACACTATAGTGTTTGATCTTCGGTCGTCCGTCACGAATACCTATTCTACTGAGAAACTATTGAAATTTCTGCACTAACATATTTTACATGTTGAAATGATTGTCAAATACTCTTGGCCTTGTTGCTAAAAGACAACATTTACGCGAGAAATTCTTAGCTAAGCTGCAACTAATACAACTAAGTATGAAATAAAAGTTAGCTACTCACTCCACATATTAGGCTACGGGATTGATTTGAAGCTGCTTGAAGAATTCAAAAAATCGCGTCAGCGAGAAATAATTTAGCGATGGCTGATTCGTCATTGATCAGACCAGATCATCTGATTTTTGAAGGAAATGTTGCTATTGAATATGATTTTTCAAAGGTGCAATACACATTGATGAAACTGACAAAGCTAAAGCTTGCATAATGCTTGATTTGATTAGGGAAGAGGGCGGAGAAAAAAAGAATATCTTACACATGAGCCTGCTGAATGTGTCGTTGATGCTGAGTCTCGTGATGATCCAGAACGCCTGAAAAGAAAATTTGCTGAAATATGCATATATATCCAAGTCAAACATAGGACTAACAGTACATCAATTTAACATGAGAACGCAGATGCCAGGAGAATCTATTCAATCATCTATTGTAGACTTGAAAAATAAAGGTCTTGTGAATTTGGTGACCCTAAAGATGAGTTGATTAATTGTTTCTCATAATTCGCGGATCTCTGCAATGAAATTACTGCTCCAAACTCAAGGAATCCCGTCAAATATATGATTAATGAAATTTATTTTATTAGGGAAATTTGAGGTAAGCGTTGCAATACCTCGTGACTCGATGGATCTGCAAAAAAAAACTGGGATCGACTCGACCAATGACATTTGATGCCCATATACGTTGTCACATGACTTACATAACGCGCAAGAAGAACAAACATAATTATCAAACTGTGCACATGTGCTTTCAAGTTGTGAAAGCGTTTAAATTGCATTGCAAGGCCAAGAGTATTTGACAATCATTTCAACATGTAAAATATGTTAGTGCAGAAATTTCAATAGTTTCTCAGTAAAATAGGTATTCGTGTCGGACGACAACAGTCATATAATACGAAAGTCATATAATAACTATACATAGAGACTATTCTTTGTTTCTTTGAATAGAGAATGAAGTTTCAATCAGTTTAAAAATGAATATTGTGCAAATATCTTGCGATTTGAATTGATATACATCAAGCGTTTTATACGATAATGTATTCCGCAAGACTAATCCGCATTTCGTGTTCATACTTGCCAGTCAAATTTATTTAATTTTCATTATGCTATTATTTTTAAACCATTATTGCCAAAAGTGATTAAAATGAGCGAGTTACCTTTATGAGCACTCGTCGTAAATTTGTTGTTTGCAATGAGCACTTTCTGAAATAGATTTATACGTGGGAAATGGTTATAGAACTTCTGTAAAAAAGACATGGCAATCTTTTTCCTTAGTGTCAGAAAAAAGGTAAATAAATCATGAATTGTAGCAAATATACGAGTACTTTTTACAGCACGACTAAGAGCTGTGGAAGACAAACTTGGTGTCAAGATCAAGCTTGAAGGTACAAATTCCCGCATGTTGTTTTTGAATTTGAATCAAGAGTCTTGCTGCACACTTACACAAATATATTTCTGTAACGTTGTTAAATGCTGCAGATTAACTAGTTGCATGTTTTCAATATTTACATTCATATAAACTTGTTGGAATTAAAAAGAGACTTTACCTAAAAAAGAAAATTCCATACTGGACGAGCAAAAGTGATAAAATACTAAATTTAAAGAAAGTATATAATTTTGTTCATTACACAACTATAAAGATTTTTAATCTGCAAGCTTCACTAAAATGATGTTTCAGAATGCCCGAAATCTGGAACATCCGGAATATACACGATATACGGAATAGCTTATCCAGAAGGTTTATCAGTTTATTGCGATACGCAGACTGATGGAGGAGGATGGGTTGTAAGTATTTAAAATGTATTTTTTCTACTACGGGGGATTGAAATATAAAAAGGAATCTCGAGCGTATCGATATCGTAATAGCCAATACGTTGCATGAAACAATATTTTTGAATGACAAATTCGACAAATACACCAACTTTTGTTGGAAACAAGCCTTGCAATAGCAATTAAATTTGAATGAAACATAGTTTTTATTGATTTCCAGGTAATTCAACGTCGTTTCAATGAAAAACTGAATTTTGACAGAGAATGGGATCAATATGTCAAAGGATTTGGAACACTATCCGGTGAATTTTGGCTTGGTAAGATGTATTGACTTACAACGCCTCTTCATCATATTGTGGATGAGAAACATTATATTACATACGTCTATACACAGTACGTACCATTGTTGATTTTGAACTGTCGAATCTCACAAAAAGAATTTAAATAAAAGTTAAATTTTTTCTCCATTATTTATCTATCTTGTACTATATTGTTGCAGGACTGGATGACGTGGTTACATTATTATCGAGCGGTGAGTTCAGAGTTCAGAGTTGATATAAGTGACTGGGAAGGAAATTTAGCATACGCTCTGTACAGGTGATATGTTTAATAATTCTATATAAAGCAAATGTTTTCAATTATATATAATGTAATAAATTAGTATTGTTGTTCATTTTTTTTTATTTTATATTAGCAAATTTTTAATGGGTGGTACATCGAGTAATTATCAGCTTACTGCATCCGGATATTCCGGTACTACCGGGGATTCCCTCTCCCATCACAGCGGAATGGCGTTCAGTACAAAGGATATGGATAACGATACAGATGATGACGGAAACTGTGATAAAGACCTAAAAGGTGGTTGGTGTTTCACTGGCTGCAATCTCTCTCATCTGAATGGCGTATATTACAAAGGTGGACATTACCCAGTCGGTCTTCATACAGTTCAAGATGGCGCATCTTGGTACTATTGGAAAGATACAAAGTTGTACTCAATGAAGACAACAGAAATGAAAATTCGTTTGAAGAATTAGGAAGCTATATGCAATCACGATACCTCTATTTCGATATGATAAGAATTGAATTAAAAAAAAAGTGTGATGATGTATTAAATTTGAATAAATAAATTTTACGACTGAAATGATGAAGTTGCATATATATTATGTATCGCCTTGAGAAGCGAAATTCGCTTATTTCCACCGTAGACAATTTCTTATCTAGTTAAATCTAAAACACATATTCATTGTTCACAATGTGTCCATTTAGATCGTTTTTCTATATATATTGTCTTCGTTGTTCGTCTTGTTGTAGGGGCGACTCTTTGTTGACTTTTTACTCATATTTCCTTCAAATTGAATAAATTGCTTCCTAATATCTCACGGAAATCAAAAAAGTCGTCATTTCTTGACTAAAATGAGGCGTGTTTTACTTATTTCTGTAAGAAATTCAAAACTGATAGGTACCACATACATATTTCATTGAGCAATCCTCCCATACATAATTATTGCTACACGAACTACGAATCAGCGAACTCGCGTAGGTTAACCAGAAATCTAATCCTAACGCTTAGCACGATACGTCGCACGGACGAGTTTCTGGTCGCTTGATTTTTATTTTCGTATTGGTGGCGCTGTTCTATATATTCTAGGGTGGGTGTCGGTTTGATAACATTGCCGCCCACGGGTGCGAGCGATAAGGTCAATACGATATACAATTCGAGAGCTTCTGGCTCCGCCAATGCGCACCCCAGATTACACAATTAAGGTGGTCCAATGTAAAAGTTATTTAATGTAATAGTGAAATGCTGTTGGTAAGTAAGATTTGTTCAAATTGACAATCAGAAGACTATTCGTAAGACGTCAAGTTCATTTTCATCGATCGGCTAATGCTAATGTTTCGTGCTAACCTGAGGAGTATTTTTATTTAGTACTCGAAGCGAAGACTACAGGTTCCTCTCGGCCCTTTATAACTTGTGATGGAATTGCTCCAAGAGCTACGCTTGAGGCACCTACGGAAACGAATGTTGCAGCTGCTGGATCAAAATACGACAAAGTTGATGCGCTAACCAATCTTCGTTTTAGTTCATCAAAACTCTTCTATTCGCTGAAAGTACATTTAAATTCAGCGTTTGATCTCAATTTTTTTCTTGGTGACTTTCCAATATTGACATAGTTAGACACAAATTTCAAGTAAAAATTTGCACTCCCAAGAAAAGAAGCAACTTCTTTAGTAAATTCAGGAATTGATAAATTCAAAATTGCCTTCACTTTGGATATTAACGGTTTTACTCCATCATCACTAATTCTATGGCTCATGAATTCAATTCCATTCTGAAGAAATGATCATGCTCAATCATGTATTTTCAATGAATAGCTATGTCGTATAAAATAATGATATAATTGGAAATTTTTGTTATAATTGAAATTACCTCTTGAAAGCATCCTGATGCTGGGGCTAATTTAGGGTTGCCATACGTCAGTTTTTTCCCGGACATGCCCGGGATTTTAGTGGACAAATTTGCGCCCGGGAGAAATGTTAGAAAATGATTAAATGTCAAGAATTTTCAGATATTGCATCCACAATTTTTTTTTTTCAGGATATGTTAAATGAAGTTTTCGTTGCGCAACGCGGATGGCATCGCATTCAGATAATTGTGATGTCACATATGATCTGAATTGTCTTTTTGTAATCCGTATTTTAGCTGCACCGATATAATACCTGTACTTTATTTCGATACTCTGTACTCATTTAATAACTATCATTTTTCACAGAAACAACCTGCATTCGATTTAGTAAAATGCAACAATTTTGCTCTTTCGTTTTGTTCTATTTTATTCTATTCTCACGAGAAAGCGACGGCAGCTTGTGCCCTTGGATTTATAGCAAATTTATACCATAATATAGAATAGATGTTTTGGTTGCAGAATTGGTCAACGTGTCATATTAAATCTTTGTCAGGAAAAACTTTTAAGATACGGTAACCGTAGGCTAAGTCATATGAAATTTTTCAAAACTAAATTAAACCTTTATGCTTCCTGCTAACCTTCAAAGCAGCTGTATGTCTGCTACCTTCTTTCAGTGGTATTTGCAAGTAACATATGCGAAGATCCAACTTCGAGAAAATCGTGGTTCCATTTAATTTAGCACGTTGGTCTTTTAATCGTTGATGTCGGGTAACGCTCTAGAATGATCGCTTTGCTAAGACCTCCATGGTCAACTCACAAGCGTATTTGTCCAGTTTCAAGTCTAGCTACAACAATAATAAAAAACCCTTCTTTTTTATAATTACGTCACACTTATAGCGCTTCGTAGGTTTATGTATATGATGCTTAATTTTCGCAAATTCTTCATTATTACCCCCTCTATTTCTAGTTACTATACACACTTGAATTCCATTCGGATTAAGCTTGTCACAATTAAAACATTTCATTCCAATCTCTTTACATCGTTTGTCATTGGAAAAATGATCTGTTGAATTGTAATTAAAGCACCTCTGTGTACGAGACTCAATTTGTTTGTTTACCCTCTTACGATTATTTACGTTTAGCACTTCTTTTGGGTCTGATTTAGTCGATCTACGTCGATGAAAATCATGGTTAAAATGATGAAAGCCACTTCTTTGTATTTCTTTGGCTTCTCCAACGACTTTTTTCATTTGCTTGGCTAGCTCTAAAGCATCATCGCTTGTGAGCGTGTGTGGCTTCATTAACAACTTTTTTTGTATTATTCTATTGTTTTCGTTTTCTATCGAGTTGTCACCTACCAATTCGTTTATAAAATCACCGGGTTCACGTGACAACTGGTCGGTTGCGGCTTCATCAACCATCAAGTCCATGCATTTGAAACAAAATAACCACTGATACATAGCCTACACGTCGGTGCGGCGCATTGTGCTAAGCGTTAGGAATACGAGGTGTGGCTAAAAAGAAACGGTACTGACGTCACAGATTGCGCAACACGATTAACCATCGGTAATCAACAGTTTTACAGTGTGGCGTAATATGTGTTCTTTGTTTAACAGCTGTTTTGACACAATATCGCAATTATTTTCCCTTTTTAGCAGCCATAGGTGAATGTGATTAACTGCTTGTTGAAAAAAATTGCTGTGCGAGATCTGATTGAGTTTTTTGGCGATAGGGATTTCAATTGCAGAATGACGATTGAGCAATGAATTAACATTAAATTTTGTGTAAACTACTACTATAAACTTTACTATTTTTTTTTTAATTTTTTCACTTTTAAAATTTATAAACCATCAATTTTATTAAAAAATTATCTAACCCCCTGCCGCTCACAGGTGGACCATTGATATCTAATTCAGTAATTTTAGCGTAGTTAATCACATCGTTACTGCAATTGCAGAATTAAACTAAAGCTGAAAGCTCACATAAACCATATCAGGCATAATGGAAAAAGAGTTATACAACTATTTTTTGGAAACAGAACGTAAACTGACAAATATCACGCAAAACTATAAAAACGAGGCAATGTTTACAACCCTGCTTGAAAATCTGTCTGAGCAGCTGCAGAAACTGCACTTATTTCTTATTGGGTATGGGTAAGAGTTAATGTAACAAACAAGGAAATCGATGCTCCATGAAATCCTAATGTTAAGTAGCTAAGTACAGGTAATAATAAGGCTAATAGGCTATTGTTCAGTTGTTACACACTAAATATTGTATATGATTTTAATAATAGACACCAGAATGGACCTTTCCCCGACCTTTGACCCCCGGAAAATTCTTCCTATACTTGACCATTGCAAAATTTTCAAGGCTATTTTAGGAGTGCTTTTGCGAGTTGGTGCCTGTAAAATGGGGTATGTGTTTCAAACCATCATTATGATTCATCGCACACAACAATCTGTTTTTTGAAAGTACCGGTAAAGAGTTTCAGGCTAGTCTATCACAGCTATTTCTCCACTCATTTTTATTACTGCAATTAAATTAAAACTCCCAGGAAGACAGAGTGATCATTAAATTATCTGATTTTTATTTAAGTTTCCGATACACAACTGAAAACTAACGAATAGAATTCAAAAACGCGAAAACGAAGTAATGTTTACAACCACGCTTGAAAATCTGTCTGAGTGAGAAAAGTGTCTGAGTGGATGCCAAAAGGGGGCATTGTTACGTCACTTTTTGCATCTTGCTGATTGGCCAATGTCACAAAGTAAACAAGGAAGTCGATGCTCGGGGAAAGGTCCATAGACTTGAAAAAAGCCAAAAAAACGCCAAAAAGCCAAACGGAAATTCTGACGCCAAACGCGTTTGAAAAATGCCAAAAATGGCAAATTTGGCGTTAAAAAAGCCAATATGGCAACCCTGCACAGTACAGTTTTTCTCCCCCGTGTAGTGACTAGTGGGTGGTCGGAGTCCAGATCCGACAAAACAGCATTCAAAAAGGGTCAACATAACTATTTATAAACATAAATATATATATATATATACACACATAATATGAACAGGGACACTTTGATCCGCGACATACGCTCGCCACCGCACCGCATTACTTTTGCGTGGGTTCGCAAGTTCGAATTCCATACGGGGATAGTTATGTGCTAGAGCAGGGCTACTCAACTATTTTTATCGAAGGTCCGCAAACAAAACTTCAAAATTATTTGAGTCCGGGTCTTTCCAGAAATGATATTTCGGCATCCTTAAACGAGCACTTCCTCGACCCACTAATGATTAGTAGGAAATTGAAATTGTTTATTATGGTGTAATAGTTCTTTTCGTATATATTCAAAACTATGAAAGTCATTTTACAATAGGAAATTCAAAAAGTGGGGCTAATGATCCAAAATAAATAATTAGGTGCGGTCCAAATCCAATACTCGAAAGGTCCGCATTCGGACCGCGGTTCGCCAGTTGAGTAGCCCTGTGCTAGAGGATTGCTGGACTTTTCGCTGTCGTAGGGTGGTCCACGTAACCACTGGTCGGTTACGGCTCCCACTACCGTCAAGTCCATGCTTCCAAAAACAAATAACTGGTTAACTGATCCCATACCCGACATTTCTTTTTAAAACCTTTCTCTTTTGACTTGCTCTCTCGATTCGATTTACGTTTTCCAAAGCTAACTTAATTCTAGATTAATCATTTCTTCCCCGACTCTGTTGATTCCATTCATACTTTTTATTTAAACTTTTCTCATTTGGCTTACTCTCTAGATTCGATTTACGTTTTCCAAATTTTTGCCCTGATCATATATAACTCAACCTTAATCATTTGACGTTTTTTTGACGTCATTCAGCTTTAATGGTGTCGCTGACACGATGACTTGATAGTCTTTCGCGGCTCCTCGTTAATTGCAGTCGAAACATTATGTGTCTGTTGTTTTCTTTTGCCTTGATTTACTATGCTTGTGTTGTTCATAATGTTTCTTGCACGACGAAAATAAAAATTATCTGAATCTGGACTTGTAACCGAAAAGGAGGTCGTGGTTTGCCAGATGATTAAGCCGTCTTTTCGACCTCACTCTTCCCCGGAATAAATATGTAAATCCTATCCTATTCTAAATATGTGAATCCTATCCAACCCGACATGGACTGGTAACCGGACGGGAAGCCAAGGCACGCCACATGATTAAGCTGTCTTATCGACTTTCCCTTTCCCCGGCATAAAAAGGTAAATCCTATTCTACAGTCCGTAAAATTAGGTTGCGATGCTTCGAAATTTCAACTTCGTCCGCGATATGACTATTCGTGAAATCAGGGGTAAAATAGTTCGTTTCGGCTTTATTTTTCATGAAGGAAGCAGATGGTGTCGCTAAAGTTTTTTCCCGTGCAGGAAATTATTTTGTAAACATTCAGGCGTCTGTCGCCATTGGAAACACTCTTCAGGGAGGAAAGTGCGCAAAGCGATTGGATTTACATATTTATCCTGGGTGAAAGAAAAGCCGATAAGACAGAGGTCTTAATCATAATTATGGCGAACCACGGGCTCTCGTCCTGTTACCAGTTCATGTCGGGTATGAGGGTTAGTTGGCTAGTTATTTGTTTCAGATGCATGAACTTCATTTTCAGATTTTACCTTTCTAATTCTATGTCGTTTCTTCCATTGTTACGTAGAAATATAGGAAGAAACTGCAATTTTGCTAGCTGTTGTTTCTTATTTTGCTGAATCGAGTTTAGCCCACATGAGTGATTTTTCAGTACCTTCAAAGCAAAATCAGGCAGAGACGAGGGAGAGAATTTTTTAGACCTGCTATTCTTTAGTCTGTTAGTCCTGCATGTTTTCAATTCTTAAAAGGCATAAAGTATACATTACCGATCACACAATTAAGTTTATTTAAAGCCACCATTTTTTTTTGTTCAAGTGCGCAAGGCGTTTTTTCCATGATAATTTGACGCCGCTCGAATAAAAAGTTTGGAAACCGCTGCTCTAGCCTGCGAGCACATGCAAGGTAATCAAAGTTGCGGTCAATCAGAATGAAAATTAAATCCTCAAATCATGGCAAACAATACAGTGAATTATTTATTTGAATGGTCTGTAATGTCAGGGAAACATACATACTTGTTTTCATTTTAAATTGCATGAGAAGTAGGAATTGGAATGTGAAAATTATATTAGGAGTTGAAATGTAAGAATGAGTGATTTTTACAAAATGCCTGTAACGTTTGATCACTGGCTGACACTTGTGATATATAGGCCTATAAATGATAAAACAATTTTTTTGAGGTATATCATAAATGTATTGACATTTACTCACTTATCTATTTATTTGATTTGAAATTCAATTCATCAAATTTAATTTGAAAAATATTAATATAATGACCTTTTCCGATTTTGTAATGGATCACAATATTCACTGGAATTTGAGCATGTAACCATGTATTGATACAAAACAGATGAGTGATGTATAATATTTATTTATCTTATGATAGAACAGCACTTCAACCGCGCAAACTGTTTCATTACAGGCAGCAGAGTCAGGTTCGGATATTGCTACCAGCTTCAAATTGTGAAATTTACAGTGCAATTACATTGCATGATGTACATATCTATAAATACCAATTTAATTAGATTCTGCTTAGAATATTCTCGAGGTGGCCTGTCATTGTTGCCACTTTTATTGGGCTACAAGTCTGCGTGCTGTTTTTATGTTTTGTGATATAATGAAAAAATTTATTTGGCTGTGCCATTGAATTGAAATAATGCATTATTACAGATATATATAAATTGTCCAGTGAAATTAGCTTATAACTTGATGATAACAAATCAGATTTGTTTTTAAATATGTCTACATAACAATTCAGGGATTCCATCATTTTGATTCAAATAAAACACAACTCGTTTGAATTCTTCATCAATGAAACAAACGAAGCATACACTGACTGATTACTGATCTGTAACTCACTTTTAGCCCAGATCTACTCATATTTCAACTGCATTGGGGTTTCATTCTTTGTGTGCTAAAACAGTACAGCATTTTTGAGACAGTCTTTTATTTTGAGGCAGTCATGATTTAGTCAGAATTATTTTAGTGTGTGGATAACATTTTCCTTCAGTATCTACACCATAACCCTTTGTTCAGAATGTACTCAATACAGTGTTTTGGATGAATAAGAGTGATAATGAAGATTGAGGTAATAGAAAGTTCTGAGACTTGCTCACTCTCAAAATTTCAGTTGATATATTCTAATATGACGAATGAATGATGGTTGGGTTGACCTTACTATACTCCCATATATTGAAAATGATATCTTAACAAAATAAAACATTAACATTAATATGTTTATTGTTATCAGTAAGCAAAATAAAATCGAACGAGATGGTGAAGTTAAGGACTGGACCAGGCACATGTCATATAAAATCAAGCCAAGGACCTGATGTGAATAGGCTGCATTTCTACTGCTCTCGATATTCGACTGAATTTGGTCAAGAAAACTTCAAACCAAGAGTCGGTCGTCATGTTGGAACAGGATATTCATCTAATTTCAGACCTCAACTATATTATTCTAGATCACAGGACAATTTTGATAATCCAGTGATGGGGTGAGAACATTAGCTAAAGTAAATAATATTTGTATAAATTATTTATTTGATCTCTATCAAGAATTTCAGTCTAAAATGCACAAAATAGAGATCAGATTAAGCGTTTTTTTTTTAATTTTCATAGGTCATCCTGAATTTTTGTCACCATGGTATGCTCTATCGATATATCACAGCAATGATCAAAATACTGTATATCTTTTATCTGTGTATTTTTTTTTAGGTTTTTGCTGAGTGATAATTATGAAACAATCACAAAACGACATTATCGCTCTGCCAAAGGTTCAGATGGGCGTGATCCATTACCAACAATAAAGATAGGATCATCAGATAGTGGATTTGTTAGAGAACGACCTCTAACAGTTCCAATGTCATTTGAGGTAAAATATTAATTGAAAAATCACACAATAGTTAAGTATGGAAAAGAATGTTTGAATATAGGCATAATATGTTTGAATTTTCAGACATAAAAATGTATACCTTCAGGGTATTTTTTAAGAATGTTAGGCTATATATTTGTATGATCTTCAGTCAAACACACTGAACATACTAACAAAATGTAATTAAGATAATGAGGTTATTTATTTGTTCCTGTTGAAGAGGTAGGGTAGTAAAAAACTCAAGTTATTATTATGAGGCAGTAGCAAGGCAGAGGGAAAATGAGCAGTTTTAAAAAGTGATTTATACTATTATGAATAAAGTGATATATGATAACTATAAAATATCACTTCTATGTCAACTGTGTTTTTCGCAGTTAAAATATGGAAATTGTATGTTTTTTTCTATGTCAAAATGAATATAAAATTACAGTAAGGGTTCCTATGACTGACGAATGCTAGCAAAAATTAGTGCCAAGAACTACTTTCGTAATCAGTAAAGCTAAAAGTCTATTTTCATTTAAGAGCTCTAATATTATATATATCATAAATTTATATACTAATGCCTATTAGATTGACCAATGGCTTTTATTCGTAAAATATACATTATATTCAGTTGATTTTATAGTTCTACTTATTATCAACAGCATTGAAAAGCTTGAAGAAGAATGTGTTTACAAAGTTCAAAACAGCATGAAAAGATTTTTTGAGTTTTCAGATGGTAAATTAAGTTAGATGGTAAATTAGGGTAGTTGTTCAGAAAATTTATAGAGTCAATGACTTCAGGTCTCTGAGAGGCTCTTATCTTTTTAAAAAAGACTAAAGAATGAAAATTGATTGGGATAGGGTTTCAAGACCAATGTAAAATATCATAGGCAACTTTATTTCTATCATGTGGAATAGAATGGAAAAAGGATAGATTTTATCAGATTTTTTTGATATTAAAATAAATTATCTAGGCTATCTATCTATCATCAACAAGTAACCTAGATTGTAGGACCTACACCTGGATAACGTGGTCCCAAGCAGTCAATACTTTAAATCACACGATCATTTTTCAGATGTGACACCCTCAATTTAATATTCAGCTAGTATTTAGAATTGAGCTCACTTATACTCCATTTTTTTCCAGGTTTCTCGAGTTTTGTATGATACAAGAAAATATGGAGGAAGGTCTCTGCCTGGTATTCCTCCCAGACACAAACCCATTTTACATACAATGAAGCGGCATGATCCAACAGAAGAGGAAAACTATTTCCAGGTATGTTCCACATTGACTATCATTGACCAAGAAGCCCTTTCTGTAGTGTATCCAAATCAGCTTGCAACAATGTTTATGAGCTAAGAATTTTGAAAAATTTCACTCTGCTGAACGTTGATTGAAAATACTTCTAATTAACTTTTCAGGGGCCGAAATATATGTCAACTGAAATTCAAGCTAAATTCAGAGGAGTACAAACAGCTCCATGTAAGTTGGGACTTCATATATTGATGTCATTTTTATATAATATTATTGACAGTGCACAGTAATGAGCAGTGATATAGTACATACAGCTTTACCAGCCCATAATACACTACTGGTTCAATAACAGTCAAGCCAATTGGGATACTAATAATTAATTCATTCAGATAGTCACTTCTGATCAATGTTGAACTACTGTAGGTTGTAATCGGGCTATTTCGTGATGAGATTTCGATAATGCTAGTGTGAATAAACTCACTACCCTACTTGCTTGGAATATGGTCAATATCATTCTTGGTTTAAAGGGACCTTGGTGTAATATTTCACTGTAATGATTGTATCGCTGTATTTTACTTGTTAAATATCTCAGCTGTTCATTGTTTTCCCTTCACGAATGTAACCTGTATTGTTTTCATTTAATATTACACTCTTTGTGTCTTACTTTGATCCACGAGTCTCTGCCTCTAGGTCTAGCAGATATTTATATCCACTGATTTTTATTTCATGCACATGAATTGAATCTTTGGCCAATATTGATATTTAAGATTAAAAATAAGCTACGCTTGTTGTGATTACATCATTTAAATGCATCATTAGAGAGATATTTTACAAAATTCATACAATGGAACATGTTCAAACATTTGTTCAGCAGTATATTTTTACAAAATTTTTTTTGTTGTGTTATATTATGTGTTTATGTTATCTTTTATTTTATTTTCATCTTAGTAAATATTCATCACAAAGATGTTGGTCCACTTGAAGAAACCGGATTTACAGATAATAAGCAGATTGAACCAGTTACATTCACCAATGATGAATATTATGATGGCGATATGCCGGTTTGTTTGATTACATTCCAGTATAAACTAAACTAAATGGTTTCCTTTTAGACAGTGCACAATTTTCGGACCTCCAGAAGTATGCGCACCAAGATGGCACACAAGATTCGTTTTTATGCCCAGCTACTGAAAAGGCTATTTTCTGACTTTAATTGCCTAAATTATGATACACTTATAGCTGTCTTCAAGATATTTTGATTTATATTGTAAAATCTGGCCATCAATCCCTAAAATCATTAGTTACTTGATGCTTCATACATGGTCATGGACTCATATTTACATTGGTTCATCTTTTGTCACAATAAGGTTGTATATCACACATGCCCAACGGAAAAAAGTGTTACGAAAGTGTCCTTCAGAGATTGGCATGATAGTAATGGAAGAGATCCCTTACCTGTTATTGCTGATAGATCTAACAAGGACACAGGATTTATAAGAGAAAAGTCAAGGCACTTGTATACTCACAGGTCAGTTTTACCGTTGTACGAAAGAGTAGTCTTGCTTCACTATCAGACATAATTGGTTGTAATCAGCAATTTTGAATTAGGTTAATAAAAAGAAAAGGAGACAAATTAATCAGAAGTGATATTGCATGCTACTTGTTGAATATGAAATCAGCAGTTACATCCTGAGCAGAAAACAATTTATCTTTGTATAATATGTTGCGAGTTTTTGCTTGCTCTATTTCCTTCATTGTTATTCCAGAATACCTTCTGAAGCTTATTTGAGCCAGAAGAAAGCACCGAGGTTGGTGAATGATAGAATAAAGAAAAACGATCATTCAGAATATTTGAATATGAAGCATCCCCATAACAAGAAATCTGTTACCATTGCCACTTATGAAGTAAGCATTCATCCTACATATTTTTGATGAAACATTGCAAATCTCATATATTCTTTATATTTTGTAATATACTTTTTTTTTATTTCCATTTTTAATATTATTGAATATCTGTAATCATTATAGTACTTTTTGTTATTTGAAAAGGTATGTTTATGTGATTTCTTCGGTTTAAGATACAACTTTCGCCTACCACCAAAATACCTACAGGTTTTACCAAATTCAGAATAAATTCGGTACTTTGTAATGTACTGTAATAAAACAAATTATGACTGTCTGGCAGTTATTTTGGGCATAATTTTCCAGGTGTGATTTTCATACTCTTGATTACGATATTTGATCGCAGTCAGTGAGATGTATGCAGTTTTTCGCATGTCTTCATGCCTGACCAAAATTGAAAGATTACTTATCATAGCTCAAGAATCTATAACTTTCAAATTTTAAAAGTAATTTATTTTTTTCTTTAATGAAAAAATTCATCTGATTTTCCTATTAGGGTAAGCAAAAACCAGACTTGACTGAGACAAAGTTGTTGAACCGTGAAGATCTAGGAGATCAAGAACCCTCTGGACATTCTTTGAATAATTATCGGTATATTGAGTCAAAGAATAATGATACTACAAGATATTTGACCGACTATAATATGAGGTGAGATTGTCTTTATAATGTGAAATAAATCAAACTCCATCACTGCCACTTTTGTAATTAATCAACATAATACAATTAGGGTCTTAGAAGTTGAAAGTATTAGGTTGTATGATTATTCTAGTTTGCAGAGACTCATGAAAGAGGTACAAAATGTGGGCCCAAAGCAAACTTTTGTTTCATCTTAATGTGACATATATCACATCTTTTTAATGTAGGTTTCATAACAAAGAACTCCAAGGTGTAGACAGAGAAGGTTGGGTGATGGGAGGATTGCAACACCCTGAAGATGATGGATATAGACGTGACTTCAAAGTACATACTTTTGGAAAATCTTTAGATGCCAGCGAGAGGATCAGAAGACTGGAACCATATGTTGCAAAGTATATATCAAATTTATTTTTAAGTTCAATATCTTTGATAAACAATTTTTGTGAGTTATCGTCTTCATATTCGACTTACAAAAGATTACATATAATGATTTTTTGTTGAATTTTCATACAATTTTTCGTATTCAAACTTGTGCAAGTGTCTTTGTGACAGTAGTCACATGCTAACCAAAATTGTCAACTAACATAGAACAAGAGAGCTACGCACAAATATATGGACACGTTAGACCAGAGCGAATCAGTCTTTACCGGTACCTATGACGCTACCGGTACCCTCAAAAAAGTTCTGAATTTCCAGTAGCAAGAATTTTGCAGAATCAAAACGTACAGCCAGTCATGACACTGACTAAAATCCGTGTTCCCATGGATAAAAAAATAATACAGCAAAATTTTAGACGAAATATCAAATTTCTTAGAATTCACGCAAAATTTTGAAATAAATAAAAGTAATAGCCTTCTAGCGAAGAAACTAATCTTTAACCACTGAAAATTTCAAAGCAATTGGTCCAGTATTCGAAAAGAAAAGCGATTTTTTAAAAACGTGTCAAAGAACAAGAACAACAACAACAACAACATAATATTGAAACGATCGTTATGGCCACTAAACGTGTCCAAAAATTGAGCTATGTGTCGTCTGTGTCAAATATTTTATGATTCGACTATTTGTGGGAAAACAATTTTATAAAATTCATAAAATTCAACTCAAAATCATTTTCTTCACAGGACGATTCGGTGCAAAGATAAATTTTTCGTTGACTACACACATGAACGTAAAATCCACACTGCAACTGGAAACAATTACCAGAATGCTTTGAGTACAGGGACACTCAAAGTTGCTTAGACTTATACTAAATAGAACTTTCATTATCATACAAACCTACTTGTAAATATTTTGTCCATCACATTTGGGCAATATACTTTACCTGTTACTCTGTATGATTCAACATTTAACTCCATATGCATAGACAAACATTGCCATACAACTTAGTTTTAGAAAATAGACGTAATGCATAATTTTGTAGATGATTTATTGGTTATTTTGCGCATGGATACTTGAATAAAATGCTTCTTTATCTAAATTTCAAAACACAAGAAATCGTTCATATGTGGTACATGGTGAATTATACAATATAACATGATTCTGAATCTTCTCAATAGACATATATAGACTGTTTTCTGATAATCATTGATTAAGTGGGCCTACAGGCATGTTCCACCAATTACCCAGGCGCATAGTTTTTCTTGAAAGTGCAAAATATCATATTAAATCCTGATTTAGCGGAACATGGAAGTGTGATATCCCAGCCATTTGCATTTTCTAACAGGTGGTCGTAAATCTCTCAAATCTGGAACAGTTTCTGGGTGAATTCCGTGATATCTTTTCATTGCAACTGTCTTGTATCGAACTCCAAGTCTATCTGCAATCCTATGATTTTTAGATTGATTAAAATATTAACTTTTTCAAACTTGGCCCTGACAAGGTCATATAACGCAATTTTCACTTTTGACCTATGTGGTGGGATCACATACCCCTTGTGACAAATTTTGGTTGAAGACTAAATATATTGATAAATTTGATGAAGCGAGTGGTTCGAATGTTAAGACTTAAAATATTCATTACCCGTATTTGGGAACACAATTTCACGGGATAACACTGCTATTATGCTGTTGTGCTCTTTCATATATGTAGAAATCAGCCAGTCAGTCTTTTTTAATTTATCTTCATTTTTAAAACATTGAATCGTGTTTGGCCATATATATGATATATAGGCTACTACATCATGCATAATTGATAAAATGGTTTAATCTGTTAAGAATCGATTTGGCAGCAATTTCCTTTTTGGAGACGTTAATAGATTGATAGACTTTTTAGATATTGAAGATGGAGTTGTTTTTATTTTACTGTCATTTTGTCATCATTTAACTAAATTTTATGACGGTTGTTGATTATAAAATAGCTTATTTTCTTGTAAATGTTTTTTCTTATATATTCGGCTATGATGTCTAATCATGAACGAACAATATCGCCCTAAACATAGCTCCTTAAGCTAGCCTACAAATTTTGTTAGTGTCCACAAGGATGTATCAATCAGTTTGATAACACAATTATTCATGAAAGAATCTGCTGTACAAGGATATGCATGTGCGATGTTTATAGGGTAGACTAAATCAACTATGAGCGGAAAGCTTGATTATAATCCGCTTATTACTTGAAGCTTATGACTATGGGCATTATGAAAAGCTGACTAACCTGTCTCCGGAGTAAGACAGCGTTTTGTACAGTGGATCTGGAGGCAATAAAACAGGATGTTCTCTTCTTTCCATGTCATACAAATGTGCATGAATTCCAGGAGGCGCCATCTAAAACAAATACCTCAATACACTGCAATTTTCGAAAGTATAATAATTCAAAAATGGTGTGGTGTGGCTCAACGGGCTAAGCGTTAGGAATACGCTCGCCACCGCACCTCTAATTACTATGCGTGGGTTCGCAGGTTCGAATCCCATGCAGGGATGGTTATGTGCGAGAGGATCGCTGGACCCCTTGCCGTCGTTGGGTGGTTGACGTAACCGCGGGTCGGTTACGGCTTCCTCCACCACCAAGTCCATGCTTCCGAAAACAAACAATATAACCAATCCCATACCCGACTTGGAATGGTAACCGGACGAGAGGCCGTGGTTCGCCATATAGATAAGCCGTCTTATCGGCTTTCCTCTCCCCGGGATAAATATGTAAATCCCATCCTATAATCAATACCCTGTTTGATCTTTCTTCCTCTGCGCCATTTGTCAAGGATTTCAGAAGAAGATATAAAGTTTCTTCAGCTCTGTTTGCCTCCAACATTGCCGCTGTCATTCCACGATTGTTGATTTCCTGCATGTAAAAGAGCTACAACGTCAAAGATCAAATTAACAGTAAATAAGAAATGTTCGCGACTGCCTATCGAAATTGTGGAAATGAATATACATAATGAAATCCGGCAACGGTTTTAGGCAAATAACTTGCACTAATAAAAATAAGTAGTTAAAAGTATTGAAATACACAGTAACTTATGCAATCGCTACAGTACCAAGACAGTGTGCTCACTCCTTAATATATAGACATAGCCCAAAATTAGTTCAACTAGCTTTTTAAAACTTGGAAACGATATCTGTGTGGTTAGATGGGGCATTTAGTAGCAAACAATAGTGGAACTGCAATATGACACTCCAACTGTGTGTAAAAGGCGCTCATATATTTCTCCCGAATTCATCAGGCTCTGCGATGCCGACATAAGAATCCTCTATAGATTTAAAGGTCTTCTTACATAATATGTTACGCCGTATCGCATTGTAAATATTTTGTGGGAATTTTCCACATTTAGCAAGTTTGACTTCTCTAACACGACTAGGCGCTAAGTCACAATATTGTTGACTTTTGAAGATATCAAAATTACGCTGTATATTTGTAACCACATAGAAAATTCATTTAAAAAACAATCACACTCGTGCACGAAAAAAGCTTTTTTTCATACCAACCTGCTTCCTAGTGTATGCAGGCAGTTTGGGTAGTGTATACAGCGGTGCCGGCGATTTTTCGTAATCTCTATTCCATTTCTTAGCTGTTCGAAGATATCTTGTCTGCAATTCGTTGTGCTTATCTTCAACTAAATTTTTCTTGACCAAGTTCTGAAATTAATTGAATAAATATTAGCAAGCTATATATATATATATACGCAATTTTCACTTTGCTCAAATATTACTTCTATATTCAGTCTAACTATATGTGTACTCCTGCATTTAATTGAATTAGGTTGAACAGGTATAAATTGACCCAAACAAGCCGTAACAATCCGAACAATCTGTAATAGGAAAACCAATAACTACCATAATATTTCATATTCAAAGGTTTTACAGATAACATTGCCGCCACTACTACAATATGTATGTATAAAAAGAAAATATTTCATTATATATGAAAGTGCGTGACAAGAAGATCTAATTTGTTATATTAAAAAATATAATCTTAGATTTGGGGACAGTAAAGAATTGTTTGTGTCGACTCATTTATTCGCAGACGAAAGTTATGGGTATTGCAACACTGTTCGACAACAACGTGTTCCAGCGCCAATGATTATTTCACCCTTTATAAAAACAACTTACTTCGGCAGGATCAGTTTCCGACACTTTTTCCGTTAATTCTTCAACGTTGTCGTTCCTTGCCAAATCTTCATCGAATTCAGTCTCATTTCTTTCTTGCGATATTCTTTAGTAGTAATAGTAATAAAAAAAAACGCAGGCCGAATATATACTTTGGGTTTTCAGTCTTGATTTTCACTTGTGTTACATTATGTCAAATGTTCATTTTTCATAACAACTCTACCATGTTCAAATATTTGTTATAATTAGCAAAAGCGTGTTTTATTGCTGAATACCTATGGGTCAATGGCTGTTACAAATTTAACTAAATATCGGTCTGAATATGTCCGAATGAATTATCTTTGAGTATATTTAGAAGACAATAATGTTAAATTGCTTATTAGGTATTTCTTACTTGTTAGTCTTTTTTTCCTCTAGTTCTTCACTTTCCAGGCACTTTTTACGCAGGAGGCGAAAATCTCGTAAATCATCCAGCGATAAAATGTCACGTTTTTCAACGATCTGTCCAGTAACTGTACTAATGATGTAACGATTTCCTGCTGGCCAGCATGGCCACGACCCTGCGATGACGACATAAAAAGTCCGATTACCTCGCCTTTACTCAGGGATTCCCTTTCGGTTCAGTAATAGTGATTTTGCATTTTGATAAGTTCACGGTTAACCAATGGTAAATACCAAAATTGATTTCGTAAGGTTCTGTATAACGTGGTTTACCTTTCAGCAAAATTTTTCATGCGTTTCAACATACACTTATAAGTATTAACCTTAAGTGATAAACTATTGCGTTTGACATTTATAGACCGTCAGCAATCTTCAATTTTTTTCGGCATATTTACCTAACCCTAAAACCTTTTTCGCAAGAGCTTTCAATGTCTTCGGTATTCGACATGGCTGAGTCAATGGTGGTTCTGAATTCACTTTTTCAATTTGCTCTGGTTTCTCTGTCTTGTTGTAACCTGGAGTAAGTCAGCAGGGATTATAAGCTACCTAACGTTTCCTTGGTAATACGGAATCCGCATAAAACCGCTAGGGGAGATAGAAATGTCATTAAAATGGATACAATTAACAACAAATGATACAATCCTTCTGAACAGCGTTTCACAAGGTGTCTTGATGAAGTTAAACATATAGGCTACGACGGTATGTTTTCAGACCATCCATATTGCAAGCACCAAATAAGTTTTCCCATCGGATAGAAAGCAGTAGTATATAATATGTTATAATATAGTATTTTGAATTCGATTAATCTTTTTTTTGTTGTACTTCGATGATTGAAAAATTTAATGTATTCAGTTTATAAGCTGTAACCTGTTTTATGCGGACTTTCATAGTCTTTCTCATACGATGTCAATTTATATCTATTGCGTATTACTTTTGATACTTCTCGCGATGTGTTTTCACACAATGGTGGTCTCGGAGATAACGTTGATTCATTCATCTGAAATACTAAAATAGAACTCAATTTACGAAATGAATTAAAGACATCACTACATTGATGTGAATATGTAGTTGACCTGTGAGAAACATTTAAAAAATGCATGGGACAACTGACGAATCAAGCTTGTCCGCGTATTTGTCCGTGGCGTCTTTTCACGCCAGTATATATTAACTGTTTCATAGGTTAGTTTGAATTAGATAGTCGTTTTAAGAGTGCTTTAATTTATATCGAACTTAAGAGAATATTATATGCACTTTGCAAATAACAGAAAAGGTAATCCCACAAGGATGATCTATCCTTTGTTAAATTAACTTCAAACAAGCCAAGGTTTGGCTCGAAATTCTTTAAATGGAACTGCTACACAAGTAGTATTCCACAATAATCCTGTGCCGTCACAATTGGTGCGTTTGTTTTTGATATATTTCCTTCAAATAAGGTATTTATATCTTTGTTCTACTATTTTAAAATGAACGTTTGCTTTTCGTATATTACGAACGTATGACACCGTATCTACAACCGACAATTCATATTTCGAGAGTTTCTCCAACTATGGCAAAGAGAGATTAGCCTACTTTTTCAATTACTAGTACTCGAAAATAAATTTAATGTAAATCGACATACTTTTATATTGAGTGATTTAGGTGTAGAAATTTGTATAAAATGCCATAGCTTGAAACAGTCCTAGCTATTTTAAAACAATACCAACCTAATATAAAATGTTTTTCGAGTGCTAAAATCTGCTAAATTATTGACTATTATATCATAAATAACGCTTTTTAACTTGTCTTACGATCATAGACAACCTGGACCTTTACCGGTATCGAGTAGCTAAACAAGCAATTGTATAAACGTAAAGAACCATGTCTATTTTTACGTCATATAAGTGAAACCCTTGATAGCCTCACTGATGCAATACGACATTGCAAATATCCCTTTTATATTCACACCGTAGTTTTGATGATTCTATTTTCTCCGTCAGCGAGGTTCAGACTTTGTATTGTATCACCTGTCGCCCACACGCCCTGCGGGATATCCAGATATCGGCCCTGCCCTAAGCTGAAACTCACATCCTGGTATTCAACCATACTGCGAGTAAAATTCGTAAATAGGGGAAAACATGTTGGGATGATTGTTGGACGTACGTGGGACTCGATTGCGGTGGTATCCAGATATCGGCCCTGCCCTAAGCTGAAACTCACATCCTGGTATCCAACCATACCGTGAGTAAAATTCGTAAATAGGGGAAAACATGTTGGGATGATTGCTGGACGTACGTGGGACTCGATTGCTTGCCCAAAGCGTACAGTATTATTTTACAAGCAGGATACAAAAAAGATACACAGCGAGTGCAAATAAATTTTGTGCGCGCTTTCGATATACACGTACAATGAGAAAATCACGTTATTACTTTTCGGAATTTGTCATTGCAGCGGATAACGCTACAATTACAAGCTAAGGGCGTAGGGTAAGCCAAAGCGAGCATAGTGGGACGTCTAAACAATTTCTGGTAAAACAGATAAGAACATTTGATAGAGCAGAATCAGTGATAATAATAATTGTCAAATAAACGAAGCGAGGCAAGGTTTGGTCGGTCGGATCTTGCACCCCACAGAATTACCCCAGCCTTGGTGATTTGAAAAAAAAAAATATATTAACAAACATTTTCCCAGTCACACCGGAATTATTTGAGCTTCGTCGCATTTGAGTTTAATTACCCGAGATAAAAGTTACAATAAAATTGATTTAGGCAATGTTTCATAGCTTTATTTGCATAACAACACGCGAAAGCATCGGAATGTATGTAGAATATACCATTCTACACAGTCCAATGAACATGATCTACATTGATCCGCGAATCCCGGACATTTGATTGGTTGCTGTATTTCTGAATACGTCAATTTTAATGATAAAATTTCGGTCTTTTTCAAAAGCAACCAACAAAAAGCACTATTTCCAATACTCCTCCTTTGTGTGCCAATCACGGAAGCATTGCTTGCTTTCGCGCACACAAAGGTGAACATTACATTCCATGCATTTCACGGTACTCCTCGAAACCGAGATATCCTTATCCACCAACTGCTTCTTTTTATAGCAAACTGGGCAACGTTTTTGTTGGCTGGTGGATATTGGAAAGTGAGATCCCGCATTGTGCATTCTCGTTACTGATGCTGGTGTCTGACCTGCATGTGCTCGAGGAGCTCTATGGCTCCCAACAAGGGAGGTAACAATATTCATTCTAAACTCCAATTCGGTACATCTATCCCCTGAAAGGTTTTCATAAACTACCTTGGCATTATGTACAGCTACTTCCAGTATGTACGAAAATATTTTGCGATACCATGCCTTTGATCGCCGGGTTAAATTATAGTACTTTCTCATGTGATCCGACAAATCAACACCACCCATATACTTATTGTAGTCTTTGAGCAGAGGCGGACATGGTATTTTTACAAAACCTGATGCACGATGTCTTCCGCCTTTTCTTTTTACAGTCCTCTCAGCATCACCCAAATCGTATTCCGGCTTATGAATAGTGGACAAAAAATAAACCACTTTATTATCTAACCATGATTGTGCAAGCAATTGTCCAGACATCCGCCAGTCGCTTGCACCCCTACGTATCGCTCTTGTCTGCTTCACAACAAGCTCTCTTGGAAAGCTCACAGCACTACTTCTAAAAGTTCCACAAGCATAAATACCTTTTGAAAGTAGGTATTCAAAAAGTTCCGGGCAGGTATAGAAATCATCGACATACAGATGGTGGTGCAAGCCCTCATAGGGATTGATCAAATACTTTACCACTCGTGAGGCCAATCCGGTCTCTGGGCCTGCTGTCGGATCCTTACCGGTATAACTTTGAAGCCTTGACACATATCCTGTGGAGGATTCAACCAACGACCAAATCTTTATTCCGAAACGTGCCTTTTTCGATTTTGAGACTTCCCGAAAACTAATTCGGCCTTTAAAAGGAATCAAAGTTTCGTCAATTGCAATGTCTCTGCTCGGCGTGTAGCAGCTTTCAAACGAGGGCAATATAAGCGACAATAATCCACGAATTTTGAACAACTTGTCTTTTTTCTGATCATCTGATCTACGAGCCAAGGCCTCGTCACAAAAATGAAGATATTTATATATATCACAAAATCGTTTTCTTGGCATTATTTTGTTGAAGCTAGATACATCAAATATCCAATTTTTCTTCTGCCAGTACAGTCTGAGATTTGGAAGACGGATTATTCCCATCGCAATAATCAGACCAATGAAAGCTTTCATTTCTTCCACATTGACAGCTTTCCACTCTTTTTCTTCAGCTTTTTTTTTAACGGACATCACTATAAGAAAAAAGCAAAGCATTTATGTATAAAATATCTAAATGCCTATACAGATTTAAAATAGTCAAGTTTTATTACAAGAATTTATAATTCATCTACCGATTGATATACTGGTATATAATTCGTTCAACAGAATATAAACATTTATTCACAATGATAGCTAGATGAGATGCTCACCATGTATTTTGCAAACAGCGTTGAGATTTGTCATGTCAGCAATGAATTGAAGTACTGTGGAATTGAAAAATTGGAAAAAACAGTCAATAGGAGTAGACGTGTGATTTAGTTGGCAGGCTTTTACTCCTTGTTGGCCGCCAAATTGCTTGATTGATCTTTTCTCAAAAGATTTTGTCCAGTTGTACATCGAACTCTTGTTATAAGAAACCACGAAGCGACGCCTCTTGGCACTGGGGGATGTATTCCATGCTTCATGCGCTTGATGGTTTTGAATCCGTGAAGATCCTGATGGTATGCTTGATGCTTCTGTAGAAATTAAGTAGTGTATTTTCTTAAAGGATGGCTTCGATTAAATAAAAAGTACAACATCAGGTTAGCTTTAAAATCACAACATAAAGTGCCCATCTTACCAAATTAGACTTTGATATGTGAAAAGTATCATACAGCTAAGCACATAAAATGTTGATTAATATTTTTTAATATTTTCATACAACAATACAATAGTATGCATCCAGTGTACACAGAGAAATAGTTTTCAACGGGAGCAATCCAGCATGGTGTGTTCGTGTAAAATCAAATAAACTATAAGAGAAAAAAATTAGACATATCAAGTAGACTATTTTTTCATTGCAATAACATCATTAAGGATGTTGTATGTCTGTATGTGTTCAAACAGATTGAAAAATTAAGCGATTAATAAGCCTATCTTTGCTGCCATTGAATCTGTCAATTATAGGCTAGAGCCCAATAGCACTATCAGAAGAACACAGCTGCACAAAGGGTATTGAATGGATAATGTCATACCGATTTGCAATTAATTTTTGCTAGATTGGCTTTTGAAAACTCACATCTATTGAACTAATCGGACTTTTTTATGCGAACACTGAGCGCACAAACACCAAATTTTCCAAAAAATGATTCTAGAATTACATTTAAAAAAGTTTCCGGCGATATAGGTACCGGTACCATACCATGACTCAGTAACTCCTGAACTCACATTTGAGCAATAGGAATAATAGAATCAATTGTGGAAATAATTGCACAAAATTTGAATAAATACAAACCTTCTTCATCTTCATCATACTCCAGATCTTCTGACTCCTCTTCCTGTTCAGATAGATCTGACTCTGCTAAGTCGTCATTATCGGAATCACTATCAGGAACAAATTCCTCTTTCTGTATATGCCAAAGAACATCTTCCCTTTCGGCTACCTGCAGTTCTGCTACCTCGTAAGCGTAAGGCATGTAAGGTGCTGACATGGCAGTTGACTGGATGTCACAATCTAGTCTTCAAAGCAACTCTATTAATACGAGATATGTCGACGCTGAAAGGACTCTCTCCCTTCTACGCACTACCAGTACCAGTACCGGCACAAATAAAATCAATATCAACCATCGACTGGTAGCTTCTCCTTCGAAGTTAAAAGAAGCGTACAGAATACACCGAAGCGTTCATTCACAATTTCGCGGAAATGGGTGCGATGAAAAAGGGAATTTTGACTTTTCTGTTTTTTTTCTTAATTAATGGAGTAGGTTTTTTGTTGTTGATAAATTTATTTGAGCCATTCATACAATCTCTTTCGAAGACATATGTATATATAATATCTATCGGTTTCATATCCAGTGCGAAAATATTGGCCTAAAATCTTGAATTTCATTAGTTTTCATGCAATTACTATATGGCACCAAACATATTTGAATGCGATTTCATTAGGATATAAAAACGAACATTCTCTATTTCCACTGCTGTCACTATACCCACTATCAAAACATTCAGTCATATCACTCTTTACAATAAATGGACCGTAATTGATCGACCTCAGTTTTTGTCCGAAAGTGGAGCCATGATGTATGACCGTTCTCCGTTTTTATGCGACAAGACGTTTTCACCGCTTGTTGGAATATTAGTTAAGCAGACCATATTTTTAACAGTCAGGAAAAAAGTAATATCTTTTAAGATAACAAGCATCCTATACTCTCATTCTTAAAGGGACGTTGTCAATCCGACAATTGCTCAAATTGTACGAATGATCTACAAATAACACTTTATTATATTAATATGTCATTAGTTACCGCTCTATTCCACGAAGCCACAATTAAGCATGTAGTGATGTATCTGACACTTTTTTGGTTACAACTAATTTTGTCGTTAGTAGCAAAATATTTACCTCCCACCCTTACGTAAATTAAAAAACCTTTCCTATAAAATCTGGGGGCATTCTGAATGCATATTATAACATTTCAATAGCTGCTAACGCAACATGTAGGCTATATTCGTTATATTGGTTCGTTGATAAGTAGCATAGCCCATCTACCTTCGTATTCCTCAAGAGTGCTCAGTGGAAACATTGCAGTGCGGCAAATATGGGATGAATAACTTGGCTCTTGTACAAAATCACTATCTTCTTTCATTTTTCTGTAATCAACGTATAGTAATTAGGAAGATGAAATTGTAGAAGGTGGTTTCAATTCTAATACAATCAAATTCACATTTCATGAACGTTTCTTTCAATGGTAGACATTGTGGCTTAACACAATATATTCAAAGCAAAGTCAAGTAGCCGATATAAATGGTATTATACAAACGTTGTTTTAAGGAACCATAACAATTATTTCATTTTAAAAGTTATTGTACTGTTTCAAAAAAAGCGAGCGAACGTACTCACCCTATTTCTTTCATCGACACCGGTGGATCAATAAATTGATCGTTTTGACGACAATTACTTCTCAGCAAAGTAGTGATGGAATGAGGTTGAACCACACTGTGGCTACAAGGGAGAAGACCGTTGGAAAGAAATAATGTCAATGTAATGGCAATAGCATCTTTTAGTTATATAATACCGTACCGTAATTATTAATTACATCACACACCAACAATCTTTTATAGTAATACCGCACAGACTGGATTGGAAACGATTGGAGTTCATTCATGGGTTAAATGTCATAATATGAAAGAAGGCACGTAAAGTTATTTTATGCACAATGAAGATAAGACATCCGAATCTTCAATTTTTTGAGATTTAATTTACTGGAAAATAAAATTGTATTCAGCAATATTACGGCAATAGTACTTGAATAAACCAAAAATACCGCTCGATTTTAAATTTATTCCAGGTAAAAAATAGTTTTGGAGATTTTAATACATTGAAAAAAAATGACTGTAGCTTGTTATCTTATTTCGAGGGGAAAATTGAAGGTATTCAAAAGTATGGATTTTTGTTTATTATGTGAGGTCAATATAGCATAATGAGTAAGACCGTGTTGGATACAATGGCTTCAGGAAATATGCACATCTAAGAAATGTATCTTTCTTCACGTGCTGGAGTTTAGTGTGTTGACTATGAAATGCCAAAACTAATGAATATTTTGGTTTCACTGCGATGTATACGTAGTTTTCTGCATATATATATATATATTTAAAAAGGAAGCGCCTCGTACTTTTAATTTTCTTGCCGTATACATAACTTACATAACTTTGCTCAATCCTGAAATATAATGTCGGTGACTTCTGGGAAAGTCAAGTTTTTTCGGTGGCATCGGAACATATTTGCATACAGTATGTTGTCCTATTCCTCCATAATCCCCCGCATACGCACCCCAATCTTCCCGTACACGGTTGCTACACGTTCCGCCGAATATGATACTGAAACGAAAAGACAAAACATTTTACAGTTACGCAAAAAAAAACTGAACAAAACAGAACGTGCCCAAAGAATAATTTGATTTATCATTTAAAGCTAAAATATCCGAATTAATATGTATGAAGTTATTTTACTTGGTAGCCCTGGCTCTGATGACATGGCTTATTTGATATGCGGTTGGCGCCAAAAGTGCATGAAATGAATTATTCGAATAATATTCAGAACAGCTAGATGATTGGTATTCCTTTTACAATTCCTATTTTATTTGGTTGTTGCTTCAAGGTAGAATGGTAGATTGAATTCTTACTTACTTCGTCATTGGCACCGTTTCTCTGTAAGGTGAGCGCAAAGGCGACAATAGATTTGTACTAAGATATGTTGGAGAAAACTGGAATCCTACCGAGCGTGAGTTCATCCCTTCTGCCATCTTTAGATCAAATTTGAAGTTGCTATCCTATTCTTTCCACTAGCCCTACTTCCTATCCCTACTTGACTAACCAATAAACTAACGATTTAAACAAAATAGCCATTCGAATATTCCGGGGGAATTGTTGAAGAAAACCGCAGCCTTATGACGTCATAAATCGTTTCATTAAATCGAATACGGTTGCTGGTATACAAACAAGTTTCACAAAAGATTTCTAATGAGAGAGAGAGAGAGATTTATTATTTCGTCAACCAGAAAACAAGCAATGGTACAATCAAATATATACACAATATGCAAGTCAATTCGGTACAGACTGGAGGGAACGATACGACCATAAGATCATCAAAGTCAGCTCCTCCTAAATCCACTATTAAGATTCACAGTTATTGTATATAAACCATGTATCATCAGATCAGTTTGACACACAAAACATTTAGTTTTAATATATACGTTGATAATAAGACACAAATTCAAAGAGTTTTGGGCGTTGATTCTTGAGAAAGAAAAGTATATATACGAAAATTGTTGAATTCGGGCGTTGAAGCCTAAAAAATAAAATACATGAGCGCGAATTCGGGCTTTAAAATTAAGTTCTGATCCAGAATAGATACCTATATCCGTGTCAAAACTATGTCAATTGACACACCGCTCGAGACTGAATGTTAGCTAGATTCTCCAAAAGCTGCGTTTTTCACTGACTTGTTTACCGACAAGTTGATTTCCCTTTTTGACTGAAAAGAGCAGGCAAACTACACCGGAATGTAGAGTGCCATAGCAAAACAGAAGCTACCGGCACCAATTCCATCCCACTTCTCAAGCGTTTTTGTCTCATCTTCCAAGCTGACCAACATGAGAACGAATATTCCATATTATACAAAAATGATGTCTGTGGTCCAGATGTATTCATTGTCTCCGAGATTGTGTTGTAAAGCAAAATGTAGAATAGTTACCACTAGTAGTGGGATCCAGCCGGTTCGCACCTGTTCTATAGAACCGTCTCACGGAATTTTATGAGATCAGCGAACCGGTTAGCATTACTGAAAATAGCACGACTTTTTGTAACAGAACCAGGTGAAAAATATGACATTTGTGCGATGGAAAAGGCTGACATAAAATTTGAATCCCACCACTTGTTACGCACCAAATTCGTTTCACCAGTGCCATATTTCCGCTTTCATTTCACATGCGTTATTTCCAGCCTTGATTAAATTTATTGCATCCCATCACTATGAACGCTAAAATTATGAGATTCGGGTGCTTAATACAACCAATAACTTCGATGGACATGTGATAGTAGGCTGTGGTAAGCATATATATATACGACCAAAGTTGGTCAGTATCATGTAAAATAGCCCCCACGCCTGAGATTATTGGAAACAAAATGTACAAATGGATCGTTTTGTTATTATGTTGTTGAAAGAATTTTTATCTCATTCTCTCGCAACATCGCTTTTCTCATTATCTACTCTGCCAGCTGCTTTTTTCCAATACGCTTTTCGCGCGAAGGTTAATAATCCTATTTATTTCGAAAATTTCTGTGGGCGTGTGATGACGTCATAAAAATTGCACACTTTGTGAAAATTTTACTATCGCGATATGTAGTCAGGCGATGTCGCAAACACAACGATACTGGTAGTCTGCTGCGACAGATTGCATACCCGTACCTACTTGACTAGCTACTTTTTGATTCACTGTAGGCCTATAGCTAAAAAAAATACAGGATAACTAAAACAAACTTGACATGACAAACTTGAAGGGTTTCCCCAACTTTTTTGGTCAGGAAACATTTAGACTTTTTGATCTCGCCTCGCGGAACACCAAAATTTGAAAGTGAAAAATTGATATAGAAAAATGGTGTAATGCAGCGGTTCCCAAAGAGTGTGCCACGGCGCACTAGTGTAGCCAAATGCGCCGCGAAAACTAACAGAATTGTTAAACAGAACTAAAATATGATTGAATATGTAACATATTGCATTTACCATGAATGTTTTATTGTTTTCTTCTTTTAAATACTGTATATATATATCTGAATCAGTAAATTGATTTTACCTTCCTATGTTGTTTACTTACGAACTGTTTGCCTCCGATGTTACGTAACAATGGAGATAAGTGTACTTGCTGCAATTTCACGAGCTGCAGTTTATTTATCTACTGAATCGAGTTTAATAACGAATATTAGTCAATTTGAAGCAAGCAGTTATTAAACATGAGCATTTTAAAGTAAAACCAGAGGAATGGACATAAAGAGACTTTTTGCTGTAAACTTGATGTTGTTAACACTCTTCGTCTTTCTGTGATTGAAGACAGGAACACAGCAGCTTCGATCGGCTTTTCCCACATGTCCTTCATAGTTAAGTGTGTTGGTTTGGCTGGACAGATAAATAGATGTGGGACGTCATGCGGGCCGGTTCCGCATTCAGATATCCCTTATTGCTGGATCAATGCGTGTCATGTAGTAGTATGTTTGGCAACTTCACACAGAGTGTAGCTGAGAGAGTGCAGCGAGTAAATATGGGCAGGGAGCTTTCGGATTTGCTGATTGGTGGTGGATAGCCTCCCAGGACCAAGTTTTGTTATTGGTGGCAAAGGTAGTCTGACACGAATTTAGTATGAATTTCTTGTTGGAGTGGAATCTTTCTCGCCATGTTGAAAAAGACTTCAGCCAAGTAGCCAAACGTCTCAACCAATCCCTTCTTGACTTTTCGATGTGGCGGTTCTCTGGTGCTTGTTATGTGGCAGGGGTGGTATTGGTCTTCACTGGCAGCAACTTTGTTTCTTGGTGGAGATGATTTTTGCTTGCCATGAGGTGACATCCTGTGATAGTTCTATGAGCCGCATTTTGCCTTCGTTGTAGGGAGTTTCAGTGCGTAGCGCTGAGCTGTCCACGTCAGTGAAGCATAATTTATGACGGATCGACTGATGGCTTTCTAGGTGGTAAGGATTGTATTCTTGTCTTTACCCCATGTAGTGCCCTCGAGTGACTTTAGAACATTGTTGCGGCTTCGAACTCGGTCGTTCTCACTACTGGCGTGTGCTGCAAAGGTGTAGTTGCTATCGAAAACCACGCCCGAAATACAAATTAAACAGTGCTGGTGAAAGAACTCAGCCTTGGGGCACTCCCTGTTTCATGTGCCGGTGTTTGGACTTGGCGAAATTCAACCAAGGTTTGCCGGCCGTGTAGGTAGTTGCTGATCCATCTTTTGACAGTTGATGGTAAATTGGCGGATGCTACGACCTGCAAGAGAATGTTGTGGCTTATAATATCAAAAGCTTTGGAGAGATCCAGTGCAACAAGAACGGTTCGGCTTTGGTTTGTTTAGACCGGTGGTAATGATATCGTTGACCATTTGTAGGGCCGTTGTTGTCGAATGCCCTTTTCCTGAAGCCATGCTGGCCTCACTACAGGTGAGATTGGGCGGTACGACTTTGCTTCGTTCACCGGTTTGGATGGTTTTGGCAACGGTATTATTCTGGCCGTCTTCCAGACGTGCTTGTAAACTCTGGAAAATCTCCTTCATCGTCGATTTCGCGGCGTTGTCGTGCCACTCTACGACCTTATTAGGTTTTTCATTTGGATGTGGTGTAAATTGTCGACTGAAAAGTGTGGTTTGAATTTCTTACTGCTGCTGATGGGTTTATTGTTAAAGCTAATTTTGACGTTATTATTGCATTTTGTTGGGCAAGTGAGGCTTTTTACTGTTGACCAAAGGTCCTTTACTCCTGTTCCGAGGTCACATTTTTTCAGATGCTCCAGCCATTTTGCCCGTTTGTGCTCACTGACTATAGGGTTTCAACCTAGTGGGATAGATCTTGAATTCATGGATTTGACGGGTCGGTGGTTCTGAGGGAATCACGTTCATCATCAAGTTTCGCAGATTCGGTTGGGAAATTTGGTCGCGGTCCTTTGATCGTGCCAACCGGAATACAGTTTTTCTATAGCGCGTCTTTAAGAATTTTTTGTAGGTATTTTTCGCCTGATCGCATCTTTGGGCTCGCCTAGGTACTCCACTCGTTCTTCAACGTAATCACCGAAGCCTTCCCAGTCTGCTTTCTTGAAGTTGATGTAGGAGCGGTTCGGTGCGGTGATTCTGGTCACTTCGCATAGTAATTTGATAACGATCGGCAGGTGGTCAGAGTTGAGGCTTTTCTTTGCTTCCCATTTGCAGTAACAGATTAGGGATCTGCTGCAGAGGAAATATCGGGGGAGCTACGGCAGTTGGCTTTCTCTCTTGTAAGCGAGTCTTCGTTCAAAATTCCAATGGCTGATGAATCGATTTCCTCAGACAGTTCACGTCCCCGACAGTTTTCAGGGCATTCTGAAAACTATGACCCATGATGTGCATTAAAATCGCCTAGAGTGAGAGAATTGGTCAGTGAAAGTAGGTGGTTAAGACTTGCTTGGCTTAACCCCCACCCTTCACGTTCTGTAAACTTGATAACGAACTTGACAGTTAAAAAGTTAGGCCGACGGCGGGCCGCACTTTGCCCATGTTTGCTCTGAAGTCTAGACGTCAATTTTGATAAAAAAAAATCCGAACCAGAGTATGCTCCCTGTGTGTGGTGAACACGCCTTAAATTTGAAAGACCACACGTCCGTACCAATATGATAAGCCGCAAATAACGATATTTGGAAATGCCGATATCACAGATATTTCAATAAAATGAGGATCGCAATGTTCTCGAGACTTGCTGGCGAACGGTATTTCCTTGGAAATTACTTCAACTAAAAAAACTTATATATCAAAAACACGATAACGCGCGACTTCGAGTTCGTATTAGAAAACCTATAAAAATTCGTCAAACTCGCGAACTCATACCACCCAGCAATCAAGTTCACATTTGAACATTCCCAAACCAAATTACCGTTCTTGTACACAATGGTTCACTTAATTGACAATAGACTAGAAACCGAACTTTACTCCAAACCAACAGACATCCACCAATATCTTTTACCGCCATCCTGCCACCCAAGACCTGTACACTGGAACATACCCCATGTACTAGCAATAAGAATTAGACGAATATGTTCAACTACCGAATTTTATAACACAGTGACATCCTCAAGCAGCATCTAAAAAGAGGAATTACCCCGAAA